GATTCCGAGAGTCGTTTGCGTCGCCCTCTCTCTCTCTATCCCACCCTCACGGGGCCTCCCGTATAGGTGCGGGAGAGAGAGACAGGTTGACGGAAAGGACTTTCGGAATCAGTCTGCAGTGGGTTTGGCCGCGTTCCCACGGGCCGCGGCTCGAGTGTTGTTTGCTGCCGATAGCTAGTCGATGGGGCGCTGGTCGAACACTCATTCCATCATCTGGGTCAGTGTTGCCACAGAAGTTTGCCAGAATTTGCCCACGATGCACCGGTGTCGAAAGGCTTGCAGACCTCAGCCCGCCCTTTACGTAATGAAATCTCTGCTATTCGAGGCATATGACCTCACATTCTGCACCGAGAAATAGTTTCTTAAATTTTAATTTTCTTGATTTTCATTAGAAAAAAAAGCCTTTACACAAGAAACTTTTTCTGCATACAAGAAAAAAAAAGTTTGGATAGAGAAAAATTTTCTTTAAAAAACCAAGAAAAGTTAACTTTTTCTTGATCCAAGAAGCCTTTTTGGGTGTGATTCGTTTCAATATGGATTCTTAACTAGGCCTTGTCTAGTGGAATCACACTGAACCGACTGCGGCGGTATTCGAAACGAACATCGCAACACGGATAACAGTCAAATGTTCTTCATAAAATGGCAAATTTCTCCCTTTTTTTGGCGGGCACTTGCGTGTGCCGAGCGAAAACAAAAGGCGTTGGCGGTGAAAGCACAAGATGGAGCGCGTGGATTCAAGGGCTTTCCGCGAGCACCTGTCCGGACACGCTCGGGAAGTAGTTTTTACGTCGACTGTACACGGCATGGTGAAACAGCCCCGTTGTTGCTCCATGTCTCCCATGTCGTCGTCGAAGCAGAGAGGCGGGTTCATCCGCGCCACTTTATGTCCTGTTGAAACAAACACGCCCCCCCCCCCCCTGCTTCCCCCTTGAGCCCACCCTGACCTCGCCTCCGCCCCCCTGCCCCCCTCCTCCCCGATCGATCCAACGAGGCTACGTCTGCCCGCGCGCCCCCCGGACCCACCAGGGCCGGACCCCCCCCCCCCTCCCCAGCCCCTCCGCCACGACCCATGCGTACAAGGCCCACACGTACTGCAGTTTCTCTGCGACGATTGTAGATGCCCCACTCGCAGAGTCGCCCCGGAGGTCGTGACCTCACGGCCCTTGCACCCCCCCTCCCCTCCCCCCCCTCAAGACCCCCAGCCCCAACCTACCTACACGCTCAGTTGGATGGGCACACCATGAACCACTCTTCTACTTTATGCGTTGTAAAACCAAAAGGAAGAGACAATTATTCATACCAACTTTTTTTTAGTTTGGCCTTTTTTGACCACACTGTGAGAAAAGAGCCGCTCCCAAATCAACGGTCTACTACCTTGATTTGTATTTGTTTTCTTTCAGTTATGAGTCGAAACTTTGGCTGTGACCTAAAAGCTCACATTCCAAGCATTCCAGACTCGGTCGCTACAGAATTCGTGAACCTTTTCCTGACTGGCGCCCCGTATCCTTCCCATTCCTGACCCCGGGAAGAATGCCTTCTGCTTCGCATCCTCTTTTGACTTCTTCTCCAGACTGTCCTTGGAGGCGAGGGGGTTTCTTGCATGGCAGGGATGGGGAGATCTGCAGGGAGCTGCAGGCAGTGAGCCGTACCAGTGGAGCGGCTTAGGCTTGAGCTTGGCCCAGGCCTCACCCCGCCAGACGCCGACCGCTGCTGCAAAGTAAACTTCAGACTACAGCCGGATAAGGACAAAGAGCGAACTACAGCTCGGATAGGACAGAGCGAACTGCGGCCCGAATATGACTTTAGAGCGAACTACAGCTAGCTCGGATAAGACGGAGCGAACAACAGCCCAGTTAGGACAGAGTGACCTACAGCCCGCATAGGACTCTAGAGCAAAGTACAGCCCGGATAAGACAGAGCTAATTACAGCCCAAAAACACGCTAAACACGGTTCCTGGTTTTCCCAGAGACTCCCTGGAAATCGCCAGTAGTCTTTTCCATAGGCTTCCTGGAAAAAGCAGAAGCCGTTTTGAACGTGTAGGACTCTAGAGCGAACAACAGCCCGCTCAGGACTTTCGACTTTACTTCAGCCTGGATAAGAACAGAGCGAACTTCAGCGCGGATATAAGGACTGTAGAGCTGTAGGGCTGAAGAGCAAACTATAGCCCGGTCAGGACTCTAGAGTTTACAACAGCCTGGGCAGCACTGTTTAGCGAACTACAAACTGGCCAGTGCTCAAGGTGAACTGAAGCTTGGACGAGACTCTAGAGAGAACAACAGCCCGGATAGGACCCTAGTGGAAACTGCAGGTCCAGGCATCACTTATTCACCTCTCGGAGATTAGTTTGGAAGCGGCCGGCCTGGTCCGCGACCCTCCCCCCTGGATGCGTGATGGACTGGTCCATACTATCGACCTCGCGGCGCTGCCTCTGCGACGACGTGCTCGCCGCGCGTGCGGGTGCGGGTTCGAATCCCCCCTCCCTCCTCTCTTCTACTTTTTTGCTTCGCGATTCTTGATGACACAAAAGGCTTAAGCTTCGCGCATACGGCGTCTATTGCAAAAGGTACTGTCATTGCGGGGACAATCTGTATCGCCAGGCGGGAACATTGAAAGTGAGGTGCCGCCAAATTTGATCAAAATTATTGAATAATCCTTTAAAAATCCTCCACACGTTTAGTGTTTAGTTTGTCACTGTTTAGACGACAGGACCTTTTCCTCTCTTTGAAAAAAAAGAAAAAGAAAAAAAAAACAAGAAGGAAAGAAGGGTGTTGCAAAAAAGGCTTGGCACCGAACCGGAACCGGCTGGTTTTACCCGACAGGACATTAGGGAAAGTCCCCGGCAGTGGGCACTGGCCCAGGGCGGGCAGGCCACAGTGGGCCAGAAGACCAGTGGAGGCGGCCAAAACTCTAGACGCGTTTTGAGCTCCAGAGTCGCTAAACAGGACTCGAACCGAACGTGTGACCCCGCCAACGGATTGCTCTCCGAACGAGGAATCCATTGGTGGGGTCACACGTTCAGTTCGAGTCCCATTTAGCGACTGTGGAGCTCAAAACGCGTCTAGAGTTTTGTCCGCCTCCACCCGTCTTCTGGCCCACTGTGCGGGCCACCCCTTCCAGTCAATCGCAAACGGCCAGCCAATGAGTCGGCCTTGGCGCCGCCGGGCGAGCGCTTCCAAAGGGCCGCCTCGTCGCTCTGTCTCTCTCGCACCCCTACGGGCCCCACGGGCCGCCCCGTGAGTGCGACGGAGACAGAGCGACGAACAAATGTCACAGAAATGTCGCGGCGTCCTTGCCGCTCACGGCCAGGGCTGGACAGGGCCGGGCCCTGCCGGTAATTGCAGGTCGATAGCCCATGCACAGTGTTACAGTGTTGCGTGCGGGGTGTCCGTTGTCCGAAAAAAAAGTGCCGCCAGACTGTCACAAATCGCGGCGCCGCCGCCGGCCGTCCAGCCTTGAGCTCCAGAATCTCTAAATGGGACTCGAACCAAACGTGTTGCCCCACCAGTAGATTGCTCTCCGTACGAGGAATCCATTGGCGGGGTCACACGTTCTGTTCGAGTCCCATTCAGCGACTCTGGAGCTCAAAACGCGTCTAAGAGTTTTGTCCGCCTCCACCGGTCTCCTAGCCCACTGTGCGCGAAGACAGTCAGCTGTGGATGGGGACGCATTGCCCGGTCGCTAAGCGTAATTGTTGATCCGTGGTCTGCGGCGCCTGCCGGGGGGGGGGGGCATTGATCGCGAGGTCGCGGAGCGTCGGGAGCACTGGGCTATGCACGTCCGCGTCGTCCAGTGGACGTCCACGCCGGCGGCAACCGCGCCGCCTTTCGCCCGGAGTTTGGCCGGCAGAGCGGGCAGAGCGGGCAGAGCGGGCAGAGCGGGCAGAGCGGGCAGAGCGCGGCGTACACCCGGAGGGGCCACACCGCCACACCGGTTGGAATCGATGGGCCGCCGGCCCGCTAGGCGTGCGCCGCGTGCGCCGCGTGCGCCAGCCCCGAGGGTGCCCGAGGGCCGACCGCGTCGCCTCGATGCCGCGCGCTGCCGAGCCGCAGAGTGACACCCACACCGAGTGACGGAGTGACAGGCAGCCGCCATGGGGAAGAGCGTCATGTTCGACGTGCGCCCCTCGCAGGTACTTGTTTTGGTCTCGACTGCTGACCGAGTGACTAAGTCTGACGCCGTGGGGTAGAGTGTCATGTCCGGTTACGTGTTTTGGTTTTTCCTGTACTGACGTAAGAGGCTGACCGAGGGACAAAGTGACAAAGTGGTTGGAAAAAATGCGTCATGTTTGACGTGTGCCCCTCGCATAGATACTTGCGTTGGTCGTGACTGTACTGACGCTCTGAGGCCTCGTCTGAGGCTGGCCGAGTGAAAAGTGACAAAGTCAGTGGGGGCATCGCATTCCGCGTGTGCCCCGCGCAGACACTTGTTTTGGTCTGGACTGTACCGAAGCTGGACTGGTGACAAAGTAGCGAAGTCAGTGCTGAAAAGCGTCATGTTTGACGTCGTGTGCTCCTCGCAGGTACTTGTTATTTGGCCAGGACTGTACTGACTGAGGCTGGCAAGAGGAATACAACTTGCAGTGTTCTAAGTGTACACTCGAGACCGCGACCCGAAACTGGCAACGACTGGTCAAAGGTGTCTTGGGGACAGGCAGCTGCCGCTATTGCCCCCCCCCCCAAAAAAAAAGAGAGAACAGAAAAGCGGTCACGATGATGTCAAATGATTGGTAACAAGATAACATCATTGCCGACGGTCAAAGTTAGCGGTTTTTGACGTCAAGTGCATGTCAATTGATGTCCTTTTAATGAATATCTTATGATGTTAATTTGACACGAAATAACCAGTCAAATTCTACTTATGAGGGGTCTCTGATGCAGAGCGTGACTAAATATTTTCCATTTTAGCTCACTTGACGTCACGACCTTTTTCTGTTCTCTGGGCACTTTGAGGTCCCTTTTCGTGACACAGTTTTGACCTTGACTGTCTCCGTGTGTTGCAGCGCGAGCTGTTCGGGGCGAAGGTGGAGAGCGCGTCGGACGCGCGAGAGCGCAAGATGTCGTCCTCCTCGACGGGCTCCATGAAGAGCAAGTGGCTCAAGGCCTTCAAGTCCCTCAAGACGACGACCAGCAGCAGCAGCGCCAGCAACGCACAGAGTGCCAACCCCGCCAGGGAGTCGGAGAGGTAAGACAAACCCGGCCTCGGTGCGCACCAGACAAGCTGCAGCGTCGAACAGGCCGACTCCAACTAGTCCCTTGATATCAATTCACGGTAAAACCATCTCCTGGAAATGACCTAGTATTCAAGGGAATGCAAGGAGATATCGACGCTTCCTAATAGAATAATCGTAACTGCCAGGGTAGTTCCAAGACAATCCTGTCAGAGCAGATCCAAGACAATCCTTACTTTTCGTGTCAATTCAGAACTATCCTAACTGCACATCACGTGAAAAGCGGTGTTTTCTCAAAGTCCGTAACGCCAAAATACTTCATAAAATTACTCGTCGAAGGGCTTGTTACAAAGTTTCATTCTTATGTAAATACGTGGACATTTTTTTTCTGATATATCGAGATTCTCTGATTTGCAGTGAAGATACTTCGTGAACACTTTTAAGTACCCCTGCAGTTATGATAGTTCTAAATCTGGACTGACAGTTAAGATGGTCTTGGATCAGCTCTGGCAGTTAGGATTGTCTTGGATCTGCTCTGACAGGTTTATGCTATTAGTACGCGTCGATATTTCTGGCAATTAACGGGCATTCCTAGGAATCTCAGGAGATCTTCCTGTGCAAACGGATATTCTTCGGAATCCCAGGAGATGGATTTTTCCGCATTCGGTTCACGCATTTGCGCAAAAGCATGGCATAACAATCGACCGCAGTCGCAACCACGGCAAATTGTGACGTGGCCAACGGGGGGCGCACGGGATAAGAACCACAGACTGCTTACAGTGATACTAATGTACTCAAGGAGCACATTAACGGGCATGCATTTGAGTGCATTTCTAATAAAATAACAAAACTGAAACGAGCTCGCAAAATATTAATCACATTGTATGCTTCTCTTTTTTTCCCATCCTTTTATTTTCCTATTTTCTTTTGTTCTGCCTCACCTCCGCTTTCCCATTTCTCTTTTTTTTTGTTTATTTCCCTCCAACAGAAAGAATCAAATGTACCACGCGGTCTCCACCATCATGGCAATGAGGTACAGTACCTTTAGTGTGTGCACTGTAAACAAAAATAAGTAAAGGAAATGAAGAAACGATTTGGATTCTGGACGAATATAATCCACAGCCACGGCTTGTCACAAGTTTTCCTAGCGCACTTTGCACAACTAATTTGAGAGGAATCACTTGACGATCTGGCGCGTATCCAAAGGCGGATGCTGATCATGGACCTCCCCCTTTTTTCCCCTTTCGGGACCTGAATGAAGGGGAAACTTAGCGATCAATCCGCCTCGTCAATACCACCAGAACAATTCGCAGGAAGGTAGGCAACCAAGAGCACAATCCGCCTGCACTGGTAAAACTAAAGCGTAGTATTGCCCTCTGTTTTCAAGCGTAATCCAGTTTACGCTTGAAATCAAGCGTAGCAGGCTCATCCGCCAAGATTCCCCCTATATAAATGCATGGGGGGAATTTCCAGAGTATGCTTCATTTCAAGCGTAACGTCTTCAAGCGTAACTTTACGCTTGACTCAAGCATGGAGTGACGCTTAAGTTTTACCAGTGTGTAAGCTGGCGAAAAGTGCGACACGACCTCCCTGAAGGAAAACTCTGGGTACGCGCCTGTTCACCAGATAAACTCAACACAGGTCTTGTCTTTCCGCAAAAACGCTCCCTTCTCTGGCGACCGCGGCAGGGTGCTCCGTCCGCGCTAACCCGGTGCTGTGTCTTGCAGGAAAAACGGACGCGACGCCGCGCTCGCCAACGTGGAGATGGGAGTGCACGACTTCCAGGAGTACACCTACAAGAAGATCACTCCCTGCGACGTGTGCTCGCAAGTGCTGAGAGGTAAGCCGGCCCGCCACAGTGGGCCAGAAGACCGGCGCAGGCGGTCAAAACTCTAGACGCCGTTCGGGCCCCAGTGTCGGTCGCTTAACAGGACTCGAACCGAACGTGTGACCCCAGCAATGGATTGCTCTTCGAACGAGGAATCCATTGGCGGGGTCAGTTCGGTTCGAGTCCCATTTAGCGACTCTGGATCTCCAGACTTTTCTTTTCCATCACAAGAGGCATGAGAGAAGTCTCACCTATCGATTTACAGTGGAAGTGCCTGTCTGTCAACGAACAAAAACAATTTGGTGTAACAAATGTCATTGAAAACAACGTTTGTTGTCCAGGCCACGCCCGCCAGGGGGTCAAGTGCCGTCTGTGCAAGATGAACATCCACGTGGACTGCAGGGAGCGGGTGGGGCGGTGCACTGCCAAGGGCAGACTGCTCCGCAGGCAGAAGTCATCGTCCGAGATCGAGTCGCGGCTCAACCAGGACCAGCAGGATGAGAGTGAGTTCCTTTCCGTTCTCCGAAAACAAAACAAAAAAAGGCACAACAACAACAAAAATTTCCAAGGCTTGCGCAGCGGCATAATGCCTTGTGTCGTGTGCTTGTGTGCTCCCTCGCGGACAGGCACACGATGCGTGGCACAGTTTGTTCCATTATTCCACCCAGTCAATTTTGAAGTCTCAATTCGGCCGTTGTTGTGTTCACATGAGGAGTTGTCAGCATTTGCTGCGGTTCAAATACGTCACCCTGGATATATAGCAGACACTAGAATGCAATTGGATTCTACTTATTTGAATCATGATGCTATTTTTTTTATTTACTTGTTCAAAATTCGATTGAAAACATTCTTTGATTTTGAACGCTCTCGCAAAAGTACTAACTTAAAACACTACCGTCCGTTGTACTTTTTTTTTTTTTCTTTTAAAGAAAAACGTCTTGGTGAAGTTGAAGAGCAGCAAAGGCTTCGGCAAACCTGTTTCTTCCCTGTCCCCTCGCTCTGTGGCAGTGTGTAGGAACGAAGGGGTGGGCCCGTCTGTTGACTCAAGTGACTGCGATCAAAAAGTCAATCCACTTTTCCAGCTCTGGCGAATTTGAGATTGGCCGCCCCAAGAGATTCGCGGAACCAGAAATCTCGATCTCAACCGCCGAGTCCTGCCTTCTTAGGTACCTCAAAATATCGAAAGTAAAGCCGACGTGCCAGTTTGTAAGCGCTTCAGTACTGCAAACTGTTACAGATGTTTAACTCTTAACCATGTAGGCTTGGCGCTGTGTTGCCTCCCGTTGGGGCTATTTGAACAGTCACTCATAGTAACAGCGGAAAAGGCGCATTTCTAGCCTCTAGTGGCTTCAAAGCGCGGGAAAAAAATGTATGGCTACAATGTTAATAATGTTTGTTCGTGGTATTTGAATACCTGCGCGCTGCCAAGTAGCGAATTCTTCTCTTGCTCTCTCTCTTTATTACGTTATGTTTTGAAAATAACAGATTAATTCTTCACATTTACCTACTCACAAACATTTAGACTCGCTAACCGCAAAAAAAGGAAAAACTCCCCAAGGTGGCGAACGGCGGCGAAGTTTCACTTGGGTTGTATACACTGTCAAAAATGCAGTGGGGTGGCCCCTAGTCCGCACTGCTTGGTTCTGCCGCCCTGCAGTTGCGGCGGACAAGGCCTTTGCCCTCTAGACGCCCTTGCGGCGGTGCGGCACTGCAGCCGTGGCTGGGAGGCCTGTCTGCCGAACAGCAACGGACTCGTCTCCCAGGGAGAACAAAACAGTCAATATGTCAATATTGATCAATATGTCAATATGACCACAAAATGAACGATTTTAGCCAAAATTTGATCCATTTTGATGGCAAAATGACATTATGTGATGTCGTGGCGACCATTCTGAGTACCTGTTCTCCTTGGGCTGGAGCCAAAATCGCGGGCCCCCCTGCTTTACGCAGTCCGAGGAGTTTCCATCAGACAAAATGAAACTCGTCAAGGCCTTAAAAAAGCAAGGGGAAAAAATTAATAAAAACGTATTAGAGACATTCTATTAACGTCATGTTTTGGCCCCGCTGGGTAAATGAAGCCCAACTCAAACAAAACAAATGAACCCCAAGTCTGATGGTAATTTCTTGCAGTGAAATGAAGGTCACAGGTGAATGGCGACGTGCTTTTTGTTGTGTGGCTGCATCGCGCTTGGTGTTCCATTTGCATTGGTGGCTGCCAAACGCTGCTTTTGGTTTTCGTATTTGTTACGGTGTGGTTTCCGGCAGTGTTTCTGACTTTGTCTCCAGCGCGTGTTGTGTTGCTTCGTTGCTGGAATGTGTTTGGCTGGTTGCATTGAAAGTGTTCTGCGGCCGCCTTTATACTAAGTTCCCGAATACGATACCTCATTACTAACAGAAGTTTTTCTTTCTTCTCCTTTCCTCAACCTCCTGCTCCTTTTCCTCGTCCTCTTGTCCCGCACACAAACACCACACTCTTTCTGTTGAATTACACACTTTCAATTCTTTTCTCCCCTACACTCGATTTCTTTCGTGTGAATTTTTCCACTACTTTTCCAATCACTCGTGCACTTGAAATGAAATGGATCCGACACTCATTTTTTTTCATCACGACTCATTTTATTTTTTTTCTTCCCCTTTTTCTTGTCCGTTAAACTTTTTCCTCCGATTGTACATATGCATGCGTTGGCTTGACAATCCGTGTTCTTCTTTCTCTTTCTGCATCGTGCATTCGTTTCCCTTTCTCTTTCTCCCTTTCTTTCGTTTTCCTTTCGCACCATTCCCTCCCCTTCTCTCTCTCTCTCTTTCTCTCTCGCTCCTCGCGTCGTCGGCGCGTCGCGCCCACCAGGGCCCGAAGTGGACTCGGTGTACCAAGTCCTGAAGCAAGCGACGGAGATCAGCGTGCCGGGCGACGTCCGCGTCTCGGAGCGCGGCGGCAGCGAGCGCGCCCGGCGGCCGCCTGCACTGGACGCCAGGCCGGACGCCTGCCCGGGCATCGACGTCCCCCCGGGGGCGGGCGCAGGCGGCGGCAACACGCTCAGGAGGAACCCCCAGGTCCCCCTGCGGGGCGCGGCCCAGCTCAGCGTGGGGCCCATCCCGCACGCCTCCAGCTCAGGTCTGTCTGCCCGCTTGCCTCTCTGTCCGTCCGCCCAGCCCGAGGGGAAGCTGTCTTTCGAGGCGTAGCATTGCGTAGCAAGCAGAGATGGGACTCGTCTCGATCGAGAGCGGAGACGGTTAAGGCTTGCGGGGAAATCTCTCCGTAAGCTTGCGAAGAGATTGAACTTTTTATGCGAAGCAGGTGTCTGTGTCACTGTGAGAAAAAAGGGCACTATCACGATCAGTTTATGAAATTATGCTTACTGTAGGACACTTTCTTAGTCAGTATAACATATCAAAAAGTCGATTTTTTTCGACATTTATCAGACAAGTGTAGCGAGGATTTTATCCGTTGTTTACTATCAAAGTGTTCGTAATACTACACAGCGTCGTCCTTCGCAAATTGTAGAGAAAAACAGCTCGCAGTGCGAACGTTTTCTTCGCCACGCTTTTCGGCAGTGCACGGTGGGGAACAGAGAAACCGTCCCACATGAGACGCAATGTACAAGACGGAGCACCTCACCTCACAGCACCGTGCGGTCAACCTGTCCCACACTGCAAGAAAAAACCACAACTAAAGTACACAAATTCTTGACAAATTTTTAGAGATTTATTGCACTTTCAAAGTACAACAATTCTTGTACAAAGTACAATGAAACCGGCATGACGAGTGCTGGGCAGTCCAGGCCTCGTTGTGGTTTGTACAATCCTCGTTGTACTTTATACAATGCCTGTTGTGCTTTTATTGTACAGTTTTTGTTGTACTTTTGTTGTACTATTCACACTTTTTCTTGCAGTGCACTGTGCGCTGTTGCTTTGGCCTTGTGTGAGATAAAGACAGTCTTCCCCTCGGCTCTGCGTCCCCACCCCCTCCACCACGAGCACCTCACCTCTCGGTCCTCGGGGCGCACTGCCCCTGGCACTGCCCCTCTCTAGACGTAGTGTTGCATGCACAGCGACTCAAGTAAGGTAGGGGCTGTGCCTCCATGCATGCGTGGCGGTGTGCGCGTGTGTTGGTGTGTTTATTGTTGAACCGATTTTTTTTCGTTTGGAACAGATGACGTTTCAATACTGCTTGTTCATTTTATTTTTTTGATACTAATAGTTCCCGAATGTTATTGTCATGTGTAGATAGCTGTTTGGATGCTGCATACGGTGGAATGTATTTTACTTCCTGTCCGAGCCATGCTACGCCTGGGACGTTTCCTTGTACATTTTACGAACCGTTTTTTGTTGTTTTTTCCTTTTTGTTGTTCTAGCGTTTTGTCTTTGTGTTCGCTTGTGACGTCATGACCTCTGGCCGAATCAACGATAAAGAGAGAGACAGAGAGACAGGGCGCCGAGTCGTTAGTCTAGCCACAGTCTTCCCCCGCCCCGCCCCGCCAGCCGTTGTAGGCCAGATCCTGGCCCAGATCTGGGCCCCAGCCTGCACTGTTGATGTCGTTGTCCTAGGGCTGTTGATGGCTCGGGTCACCACCAGCATGCCGCTGTCGGGGATGTCTGGCATGTCTGCAAGCCCAGGCGGCCCAGGCGGCCCAGGCGTCGGCCTCCCCCCCACGCCCGACGCGGCTCGGCGCCGCCGCCGCTGGTTCGCGGGCATCAAGAGCCTCACCACCGCCGGCCACCACCAGTCCCCCGGCCCGGGGTCGCGGTCCATCTCGCTCCCAGAGAGTAGGCCGAGCAGTTGTTGTTGTTTATCCAGCTTGCCAAGTAGCCGTGCCATTTTCTTTTGTTTTTGTTCGTTCTTTTATCATTTTTTTGCGCGCGTTTACGTCGTTGCATCATCCGCTTGACAGCAGGGGATACTTTGAGGCGCCCTGCCCACTGGCAGTGCCCACTGGCAGTGCCCAGCCCTGCCCGGTCCGTGTTTAACACACTTGTTTAACAGCACCAGGCTAATATGCGGACGTGTCATAGTGGTTAGCTTTCTATTATTCGTTTATTGCGTTGAGCTCGCTTCGTTTGCTTGTATAGCTTTCAGTGTTCTTTATATTCTGTGTCAACTGTAAACAGTACTAAACTTTGGTACCAGATAGAGAAGGGTAGTGTAACTACGTTTTCTGAACGACTTTTAATTATATGCAAGTGTTTTAGCCAGTACACTACATGTTTACAGCCGGCAGTACGTAAGCTGCTTCCAATGGTCGTTGTGACTAATCAATTCTGTCTTGTGTGTTGCATTCCGAATGTTAGCCTTGCAGGTCTGGCAACTTACCTCATTAACTGTAAATCTTCATTCTTCTGTCCACATTGTAATTTCAGGTAACAGAGAACGCATTCAGATGGTGCGTACCTTAGCATCACCATTTTCATCCCAATTAACGTTAATCCGATGCACTGACATTTAACTGCGCCTTTCAGCAAATGCCCCCCCCTCTCTCTCTCTCTCTCTCTCTCTCTCTCTCTCTCTCTCTCTCTCTCTCTCTCTCTCTCTCTCTCTCTCTCTCTCTCTCTCTCTCTCTCTCTCTGCAACTCGTTCCTCTTCCAAGACGCATTCGCTGGAAAGCGCACGGAGAAAACCCGCGTTGTAGGAATGTAGGAAGGAAACAAGGAATTTTCCTTGAAACCAAACAAGTATTTTCCCAAAAAGAAAGAGTATCAAAACAAAAATTTGCTTTCAAAGGTAAATTGAAAATTAACAAATTGTGCGGAACTTTGAAACGACAAAGTTCGCTGCTGTTCTGCCAGCATATAGTCCTCATCAAAATTATGTATTTCTTCACGTGTCGCTACTCCGGTAGTTGTTTTTTCTCCGTTCCCTGGATGCCGTCAAGCTGTAGTGTGGACTTCCTGCTGTTTTCCAGAGCAAAACTCGGGGTCCGCGTCGGGGACGCGGGCCTTCGGCCAGCCACTGGTGCTGTCGGCCGCCCTCGACGTGGAGGAAGATGACAGCAACGTGCCCCGGTCCCCGCCTCCCGGCAGCACCGCCGCCCTGCTCGCCGCGCGCAACGCCAGACTCAACTTGCCGAACCAGCCGGCCAACGGGCCCAACGCGCCCAACGCGCCTCGGAGGAACTAGCTCCCTGCCAGTGCCGTGACGCTGCACCCTCCGCGGGGCGCTGTCAAGATCCGACTAAAAACGACGCGAAAAAAAGACTGCCAATAGTGCCGCCATCTTGCTGCACCCTATCCCACTGTGAAAGATCCGACTGCCAATAACGCGTTCGATGACTGCCAATAGTGCTGCACACCGCTCCCGTGGGCTGCGCACTGTGAAAGATCGGACTGCCAATGACGCGTTTAAAGACTGCCAATAGTGCTGCACACCGCTCCCATGGGCAGCGCACTGTAAAGATCCGACTGAAAACAACGCGAAACAAAAAAAAACGAACTGAAGCGCAGTCTGTGATTCAACATTTTGTGAAAGTGTTCGCTTCCTTGAAGATAGAAATATCGAGATTCTGTGATACTTAATGACCGTGTCTGTGTCGTTGCAAGTCCATCCTAAAAGTAAATATAAGGAGAAAAACAGTCGTTGGCCTTTGTGCACCCCGTCCCTTGAGCCCTGAGAGAGAGCGACAGCCTTCCTTGCAGGTAATGTGCCGGCGGTGTCGCGGTTTTGCAGTGCGGTGCACGGCTTCACTAACTACCCAACCTGTTTCAGAGGAGACCCACCGACGACACCCTGTAACACCTCTCAACAGCCTGTACATATGCGTGCTGATCTGTGTGTGTGTGCGTTTACTAACCCTTTCCAACGGGCTGGAGAGCTTAGGTTATTTGACGATGCTTTGACGGCACACTGTGACACAGGCGCCCTGACTGCCCTGCGGAGTTCCCGCAGTGCCACCACACTGGCAGTCCCGGCCGCGGACGCGCCGCTCTCGCCCGGCTCGCCGGCCGCGCCCGCATCGCCCTCCGCGGGGCCCTCGGCTGGTCTGTAGTCTACATTTTCGTACATAGTGCCGCCCGAAACGAACAACACGTGTTTTCTTGTGTGTACCTAGTCTGTCTTTTTTTGTGTTTTTCTATTGACCGGGGCTGTTTTTTTTTTTTTTCGTTTTTACCCGACGCGGTACTCTAGTCCCTTTTTTTGTGTACCTAGTCTATCGGTTTTTTTTTTTGAAACGGACTGTTATTGTTTTTAGCAGACGTGGTACACTCTAGTCCCGTTTTTTTTTTAAATCGGAAATCCGCGACGGCGTTGTGAGAGCTGTGGAGGTTTTACACCCGGAAAGCACACACTAGGTCCACGTAGGTTCGCACGCAGGCATTTCGCACCCGAGTTTGAACCACCACAAGCTGTACCCCTTTTTGACAAATTTGGCCAGCCGGTCTGCGGTATTTTTGCGCACGTCAACACTTGATGAGACACGAGACACGGGTCACTGTCTCCCGGAGCGCCTGCGGAGTACGGGATAGGCCCGCCCGCCGAACAGCCCCGTTTGGCGGGTTGGCCTACCCTCGTGTTCACAGGCGCTCCGCTCCGCCTGCACGAAAGTTGACATGCGCTGAAAAAATAACGAACTACTGAATATTGAACTTTCTCTCAATATCGGGGAAGGATACGACATTGTTAATGCATGCGGCCCTCTTCATCATGCCAGGAGGAAAGTCACTCGACGTGACACTGTGGTGTTTCCTTATTTTCTGAAGCGATGCTCTGTTTCACCACACGTTTCCACTTTCGGCTTTTGAATTATCAACCGACGCCCACCCTCGTTCGATAACTTCATAGGCCACGTAACACATCGCAAGACTAGCTATATCGTAGGACCGTTTTATACGTTGCAGTTTGTTGTTTTTGTTTTTAAACGAAGCAGCTTAGATTTTGGAGGTAGCTTGACGAGCCGTACTCTGCATGCTCTTACTATGAGCTCGAAATCAAACTAGAGCAGTGATGCTAATTTTTAATTTAAACAAAATAAAACACAAATCTTTATTTTTAAAAATTTAAATTACTTACTTGGTGCCATTGTAACATTCTCGGGGAAAACTTCTCCCTTCCATCGATTTCCCCCTTCTTCATTTTCATTTCATTGAATTCTCGTTGATGTTTCCGACCTTCCCGTGAGAACGTGCCCACCTTTGTCTCTCCAGCCCGTGCCCTGGCATGCTTGTGACATGCTTTGTGTTTGTGACGTTCCCGACCGCGGAACGGGCGGGCACCACTCTTTGCAGACAGGCGGGGCGCGTAGTCCGTCCACCCGGCCGAGGCCCTGCAGGCCTCATCCACCGTCCAGTCTGTGTTCCAGCAGTATTGACCCATCGCGTGCACTCCGTGTGTCCGTGAGAGTCGAGGCACGCGTGTCCGTGTGAGCGACCCCGTGTGAGTGTGTGTGTCTCTGAGTGTGTGAGCGCGTACGTGTCTGTGTGCGAGAGACGGGGACCGCCAGAGAGAATGCGTGAAAGGGAACGGAGAGAGACTGACCAAAAATAAAACGTCATCAGTCGGGCCTCCGCGCCGCCACGCACCATCGGCTGTGAGGCGTCAGTGTATTTCCTTGTACCACACTTTTAAACTAACTTTTAAACCGCAGTGTTGTTGTTGACGCTTTGAAAGTAGTTACGCCGCTTTTAACCGCACTTTACTCGCTGAAACTGGGCACCGCTTCCGTAGAACAAGAGCGAGCGAGACAGCAACTCGCGTGTGTGTGTGTGTGTGTGTGTGAGAGAGAGAGAGAGAGAGAGAGAGAGAGAGAGAGAGAGAGAGAGAGAGAGAGATGTGTGTGTGTGTGTGTGTGTGTGTGAAATGATTGCGAGACTCCTTCCGTCCTGCGGGTCGCATGACGAGGCAACGGAAATAGCGGCGAATCTGATTGTGGCCTTGGCGGCCTTGCCCTTCCGAGGGCCCGACCCGCTGCCCGACCCGCGGCCTGACCAGCCCGACCCAACGGGCCGGGTCGAGGCAGCCCCGAGGGCTCTGCCCGGCTCTGCCCGGCTCTGCCCGGCTCTGCCCGGCTCTGCCCCGAGGCAGCCGGCTGACAGTGTGTCGTGTGTTCGCAGCGCCGCACAGTCCGCGCCGCCAGAAGCTCAACCTGCGGATGAAGTCGCTGTCGCTGGACTCGCCCGAGTCGACGGAGCACGCGCGGCGCGGCCGGCCCGCCAACAGCCAGCACCACGGCGGCACCAGCAGCGCCGGCAGCGGGCCCCACGACCCGCACAGCGGGCCCCACAGCGGGCCGCACTCCAGCCACTCGTCCTCGTCCAGGCTGCAGTGTAGGCACCAGTCGCCGGCCGAGCGAACCGAGGAGGGGAGCGACTTTCGCGTTGAGAGAGCCTCTAACCTTACCTAACCTACCCCCCCCAAAAAAAAAAAGACGCTCTCGCCAAGTTTGCGTCTCGCGCTGTGCCGATCTCTCGATTTACTTTCGAGTATTCGCCCAACAAACACAAGGAGGTCAGTGGACAGTCCGCGCGACCTTACAGTGCCTAAAACGCTCCAGTTTGATGAAATTTTGACCGTACACACTGAATGTGATGGGACGTTTCTGTCCCATGAATGATGCAATTTCAAGAACATTCATCGGCAATATTGTTTTGTGTAGACCAGGTGATACAAAATTGTTCAATGAAATAGCAAATTGCAACAGGCGTCGGGCAAATGTATCATCTGGTGAACACAAAATTGCATCGCCGACGGAGGTGCTTAAAATTGCATCATTTGTGGAACAAAAAGAAGTCAATAGCAATTAATGTGAGCTTCTCGTGTTTGTTCACCCAAAAAAAAATGACTTCTTGGATCAAAAGCTTTTCTTCGTTTTTGCAAAAAAATTTCTTAATGTATTTTTTTTCTTGAATGAAGAAAATTTTTCTTGTGTCAGACTTTTTTCTCACAAAAACCAAGAATATCAAAAATTTAGAAACCATTGTTCTGGGTGTTGTTTGGGTACTGGCAAAAGGGGAACCTGAGTTGTTGATACAATATCGGCTGTAAAACGAGATTTGCGGGTTAAAATTTCTCCGAAATAATTTTTTTGAGAGCTTAAGGTGGGTAGGTCATTCATCATTGTTGCGAAGATGATTTTTGTTATTATTATTTTCTGCTCTGTCGACGCTCTTCTTGTAAGACGCCTCCTCCTCGGGTGCATCGCTGGGTGACGTTTTTCTCTTCAATCTCTTTGCGACTCTCTTGCATGTGCAAGCGCAGCAATCTCTCTTTGAGCAAATTAATTCTTCTTCTTTCTCTTCCTCTTTTTCTTCTTCTTCTTTCTCTTCTTCTTCATAGTTACAAGTGGAAAATTTTAGTTGAATCATTTTTGTTTTTCAGCGCGATAAGCGCGAGGATGTATTTCAGTTTGATTATAACCACGCTACGCGGAGAAGCAAGTCGAAGTTCATATCCGTTAATGCATCTCTTGTCATGCTGAACAATTTCACACGCTGGATGTTTATGGATTTCGCGAGACTGACCAAGTTTGATCAATCTTTTTTCACTCAAACCGCGAACTGAACTGAACAGAACTGTTGTTCTGCCCTCACATCGTCATTTAACAATCTTCCTGCTGTTTAAAAAGCAAAATGAAAAACAAAGCTCCTTGCAGCTTGTTGCTGGATATCTCAGCTCTGCTTGTACCAGCATGTGTACTTCTTTACCTCCTCTTGCTTTACTCGCGTAGGCGCGTGTGTGTGTGTGCTACACTGTGCTCCACCGTGTCGTGCACGCCTGTCTTTCTCGTTACCGTGTTTTCTGCACCCGTTTGACTGGATTTCCTTCTTTGCAGCCCATTCGTACGCCGATTTCTCTAAGCCTACACCTTTCAGTACGTAACGTTCCACTAGAAAGGGTAGACCGTTACAGTAGCGAGAGACTTAGCATTTTGGTGTCGTTTTCCTTTGAATTGTTAGCTGGATGGCTTCGGCGTCCGCTGAGTCCCCGCTCAAATCAAGGAATGTACATTCTTGCTGCGACGCACGGGCGTGCCTGGGGGGGGGTCTCCCCCTCCCCGTCGCTTTATCTTTCTCTCTCTTGCTATCTCGGGGACACCCTCTCCGAGTCTCTCGGAAAGTGGTTTTGGTTTGAATTCCATTAAAGTTGCTACCAGCTCGGTAACTAACCCCGTTGGCCATTTGTTTTAGGCTACCCTTCACATCTACAAGAGTCGTCCTTTCGATTGTGGTCTTTAGGCCGCCGGAGAGCCGTTTACCTGCAGCATGGCCGCTCTTGGTCAAGTACGATGATCCTCCGTTCTTAGTAATGCCGCTAAGTGGTTATGGTTCCTGTCTGGTAACGGTGCGCTACTCCGCGACACCTCCCTAGGGAATGCTGGTGACGGGAGCCACTCCGTAGACCGGATTGGCCTTAGCTTCTCTGGCCAGTCTTGAGACGGCCGCCTCTCGAACCCAGTGTGCCCATTTTCAACCCCTCTGGCCCCCGGGGCTCGCCGACTGAACTTGTCCCAGCTTGCCCCGCCCGTCTCGATCGAGATCTCGGTGGTGGGATCGAACCAAAATCAGTTGGACTGCGGTCGAAGCGCAGAGCAGAGCTCGCACGCAGTAGCGCGTCCCATGCCACCACTCTGCGAAAGAGCTTCTGCCCCATGCAACCTCTCCTACGGAAGAGCTCCGAAACATGCCCCACATGCATTGGTTGCTTTCTAGTTGTACATTTTGAAGGCTGAAGCACGAACCAAGTGATCCCGGTAGCATTCACGGTACAGGTTGACTACTCCAGGAGCCCTTTAACGACCTTCACTCCCCGGAAGGGCGGTGGTGTGGGTTGTAATTTGACAGGTAGGAGTTGCTGCTACACTGCGGCACGTCTTTCACTGGCCGTGCCCGGCCGTACGTAGCGGAGTGTCCTTTCCTCTTCCGCACACTTTTCTGTTTCCTGCTTACCCCACACTGCATGAATTCGTTCTGTCACCGTTACTCGGAATCTCTAGTGTAGTTTCACGTGTGTAGGCAGCCCCGCGGAGTTTGGCAAGCGATTCTAGAGACGCAAGAATCTTTTTAGAACACGCTCCTTCCTGGGCATGCCGAGCTCAACGATTACGGGTTGTTTCAAGCCCGCTCTCCACTCTAAAGTCCTTACAATAAAACGGTCAGAGTCACTGATGATTAATAGAATACATACGTCGTACGAGAAAATATATCACCTTATAATGAATCAACGCATAATGCGATAAAATCTGCCGCTTTTCACCTAGACAAATTTACGTGATACCCCGATGTAACCTTGTAACTTTAAACGTACCTTGCTTAGGCAGATTATCGTATTACTTACAAAAACAGTTGTAAGGAATTTAACACGTGGATTTGTCCCTGAGCGCCAGCGAAGGGCGGGCAGGCAGGCCCGCAAAGCAGGTCTGTGTTGCGGGCTTGCCTGCCTTAGCGCCTGTGACACGCTGGGTAGGCAATCCCGCAGGGCAGGAAAGTGTTGCGGGCTTGCCTACCTTCACGCGAGGTAGGCGGCCCGCACAGCAGGTCTGTGTTGCGGGCTTGCCTACCTCCCTTGAGAATGGTGTGCGAGGAACTCATAATTGTTCTCGACTCGACCGTTCGCGCTGCAAACGGCGGAGCGTTTGAACGTCGGTTTGCCTTGTCCCCGCAGCGCCGTCAAGCCCCGGCCACACGCGCCGGCACCTGTCCGCCCGCAACATGCGCATGAGCTCGGTGGAGCTGCCGGACGACAACGACAAGTCCCAGTCGTCGGCGTCCACGTCGCCCTGCCCCAGCCCGGTAAGGGACTCGCGCGTTCCCGGCCAGGTAAGGCATCCGCGAACCCCAACCGCGGCGAACCGCGGCGAACCGCCTGCCGCACAGTGGGCCAGAAGACCGGTGGAGGCGGTCAAAATCACGGACACGTTTTGAGCTCCAGAATGGGACTCGAACCGAACGTGTCACTCCAACAGTGGATTTCTCTTCGAACGAGGAATCCATTGGTGGGGTCACACGTCCGCTTCGAGTCCCGTTTAGCAACTCTGGAGCTCAAAACGCGTCCAGAGTTTTGGCCGCCGGTGCCGTTCTTCTGACCCACTGTGTGCCGGCCTCACGGTGACGCGCGCCCCGCAGCTTGATGACCCGCCGTGTGTTCGTTGCAGAAACGCCTGCTGCCGACCAACCTGTACGTCGTGCTGTTCAACTTCAAGGCTAGGCACCAGGACGAGCTGGACCTCAAGTTAGTAGCACTCTTTCCACAGTCATTTTTATGATGCTATTCTCCTTGAGACCGCGTGCCCTTGACGGCGTACACTTGACGACGTGCCCTTGACGACCTGTCCTTGACGACGTGTCCTTGACGACGTGCCCTTGACGACGTGTCCTTGACGGCGTGCCTCTGTCGCCAGGGCGGGCTACAAGGTGACGGTCATCGACTCGACGGACCTGGACTGGTGGAAGGGCAAGTGCCTGGGCCGCTTCGGCTTCTTCCCCTCCAAGTACGTGACCAAGCTGCAGCCGGGCGAGCGGCCCCTCCAAGTGACGCACAACCTGCAGGTCGCCGACGGCGAGGAAGGACTCACCCTCCTCAGGGACCAGATAGTGATTCAGGTAATGACTCACTTACAAAGTTGCTGTTTTTTGTTGTTTTTTCCGGGTCGTGTCATGTGATGCTCGTTTGGCTGCAGGTGGGGGAAGAGCTCGACGGAATGGTGATGATTAGAAGCGGCGACAATCGGCAGGGCGTGTGTCCCCTCAAGTTCCTCCAAGAGGTATGACCGACGCCGGCGGGCAGGGCCTCTGTTGGCCAGGGCCAATGGCAGCCGCAGTCGCAGCAGCAGTCGCAGCAGCGGCCCGCGGCCAGCCACGCCATCATCGTGTCCAACCCTGACGGCACCGTGTTCCGGGTGCCGCGCCCCAACCCGTCCCCGGGCCCGGCCCCGGCCTTGGTGCCCCCGCCCCTGGCCCCGCGCCGGTTCCCGGCCCCGCCCGCCTTCAACCTCAACGAGTGCTGGTCACAGCGCCCTGACCCCGCCTCCCCGGCCCTTAGGGCCGCCCCCGCCAAGTTCACCTTCATCCCTTGCGTGACGACGCTGGACTGGACTCCGCCCAGACGCGTCGTCCCACCTCCCCTCTCCCTGCCGCTGCGCCCACCGTCACCACCGTCACCACCCCCTCGGTCGCCGCCCTCCACTCCCCTGGACGCCCTCAACAACAACCTGCCGTCCACGGCCACCACCACCACCACCACCACCACCACTACAACTACCCCCAGCGGCGGCAACATCAACAACATCCTCTACAACAACAATCACAACAACGACCGCAACAACAACAGCAACTACAATAATAATAGTAATAATAATAACAACATCAACAACATCAACAACAACAATAACAACAACGCGACCGCAGCCACGTCGCCGACCTCCGCGAGGACGCCGGCCTCCGCGAAGACATCAACCTCCGTGAGGACGCCGACCTCCGCGAAGACACCGACCTCCTCGAGGACCCCGGCATCCGCGAAAACGTCGACTTCCGCGAAGACGCCGACCTCCGCGAAAACGTCGACATCCGCGAAGACGCCGACCTCCGCGAAGTCGCCGACCTCCGGGAAGTCGCCGACCTCCGGGAAGGCGCCGAACTCCGCGAAATCGCCGACCTCCGCGAAGTCACCGAACTCCACAAAGGTGGCGACCTCCGGAAAGGCGACGACCTCCGCGAGGACGTCGACTTCCGCGAAGACTCCAGCCTCTGCAAGGACGCCGACCTCCACCAAAACGCCGACCTCTGCGACGACGCCGACCTCCACGACAACGCCGACTTCCGCGTCGACGCCAACCTCCGCGACAACGCCGACCTCCGCGACGACGCCGACCTCCGCGACAACACCGACTTCCGCGACGACGCCGACCTCCGCGGCGGCGAAGCCGTTGCCAGCGGCCGCGGCACCAGCGCGGAAAAGCGTCAAGCGCGGCCTGCGCAGCCTGCTGAGCCCCACGTCGTCCGGCCCCATGCCGTTCGCATACACGCGCACCTTCGAGGTGAACGCCGACGTCGACCTGCCGTTCAACGACAACTACCTCTGGGGCGCCAACAACAACGGCGCGGAGTCGGAGTACGTCCTGACGGTGCACGGCTGGAAGCCGCGCGGGCAGCAGCCGCAGGGCGCCGTGGTGCTAAGCCCCGGTGAGTACCCGTACAGGTTCCCGTCGCGCTCACACCGCAACAGCGACGCCAACGAGGACTCGCTGGCGCGGCCGCTGTTGACGCGCACGCGCTCCGGCAGCGCGGGCAGCACGGACCCGTCGCCCACGGCCACGACCCCGCCCACCAACACCATGAACACCATGACGGCGGTGACGGCCTCCATCGCGCCGCCGCCCGCCGCGCAGCGCATCGGGCACCGGCGCCTCAACTCCACGTCCAGCTCGCGCACCGAGTCCGACATCTCCTCGGCATCCGGCTTCCACCGCGCCGCCGCCGCTGCTGCCGCGGCCAAGGCCAAGGCCAAGGCCCAGGCTGGCGCGGACGGGGCGGCTGGCGGTGGCGTGGCGGCGGTGGCGGCCGCGGCCGCGCAGTACACCTCCATGGCGCGCCCGCTCGGCATCCCCAGCCTGTCCTCCGCCGGAAGCGCCGCCTTCAACCGCAGCTGGCAGCTGCTCAGCGGCGTCAACCCGTTCGGCGGCCCCGTCAGCCCCATGAACCCCATGGGGCCCTGGGACTGCACTTCCCAGACGCGGCCCCTGCTCGTCCTGGTCAAAGGGAACAGCCCCAGCCACGCCATGGGGCCAGGCATGCCGGCTGGCATAGCTCACCCCGGCCCCGTCGGCTACCAGTGCTACCCTTGAAGCACACTTGAAGTTTAAGTTTCCGTAGGTTTGTTAGGCTGCGCGAAGGGGCGCCGCAAGGGTGTGCCCGTCACATGAGGGACCATGATGTGCCCGCAGAGGCACTGTTTGTGTGTGGATTTGGGGTGGTGGTAGATTAAATTATACTTCCATTGCAATCCATTTCTCTATTGTTCTTATTCATGATTTTAAGTGTGTATATATGTTTTAAGTGCGCCTAGGCAAGAGGGAATGAACTTCCTCATCGATGTCCAGCCTACCATTAAACAAATACTTAATTTTAACTGGGCAATGAAATGGAGTAAAAGTGAAACTTGGATTAGTTTTAATATGCATTGTTAGCTTTGCATCTCTCATGAAGCATGTGCCGCGTGCTCTGCACAGCTAGCTGCTGTGTGCTTTCCCTCGTGCATTGATTTGCAAGGATGTACAAAGTACAGCTCCCGAATGGCTGAATTTGCTGCAGGAAAATTGGAATTGTATTTTTATTTAAGTTTAACAAGAGACGGTGGTTTGTAAAATAAAAGTTCTCAGTAATTTGTATGTTTCTGACCAGACTCAGAAGTCCAATTGTGCTGGCCACAATTTATTTACAGCAACTAATGCGTTTATTTAAAGTACTTGCGACCATTTTACAGCATGTGATACTTCCTAACATCTGTATACGTTATGCACGCATTGGTTGTGTATTTCGATTGTGCATTTAGCTATTTGGCACAGATATTTGCGGGTCATTATTTATTTTTGTGGAAAATAAGGAACAGAAGAGGCTTGATAAGGGTGTCTGCTGTCTATTTTTAAAATTGGACTGAATGTATTCTATCTAATGCGTTTTGATCCTGGATGAGCTTTTTACTCATGACTTAACAAGTCAGTAAAAATTTTAAATATGATTTGACTGCTTAGTACTACTAATGTGAATCATAAAGCAGTGCAATTTGCTTTCCTATTTTTGTGGTTAAGCATTTAAATGAAAAGTATGAATTTCTTGTGGATCGAGATAAAAGTTCTTTTAATCTATTTCAAATTTTGCACCATGCTTCCCTCTCAAATTGACATGTTGTGTAAAGACTTTCAGTTTAAACTTCGTTTTTTTCCATGTACCTTCCCCCTTGTTATCTAAGGCTTCTGATATTGTACAGAAGCAAGCCCGCCAGAACGTCATGCTTCTTTCCTCGTATCTGTGATAGTGTTTGCTGTGAACATTTTTCCTCTTCTTTGTATAACATAAATTTGTGGTGATTTTAAGTGACCCACAAATAAGCTTGACGGTCCTTGCAATCCCTCAGCACATCTTTCAGAATTTATTCCCTATTCAGGATGTGCCAACAAATACACCTTTTTCCATTGTTTCTTCCCCTTCCTTAATATTTTGGTTGGCTCCAGCGCTGTTTCTCAAGAAGCCAACAGTCCAATTTTGTTTTAAATTTTTGAATGAATATTCCTTTTAGGTAAACAAGAAGCTGCATAAGCATTAAGCATCCCAATGAAACATCCCATTAGGCACTCAAATTCAGTTTTGTGTCTGAAAGGTGACCGTCCCAGTTCACATATCTTATACAAACAGCGGAACTGGCTTCCTTATTGTGATTTTTTTAACGGCAAGTGTGTCATGAACTGTGTTGATTGCATCTTCAACATGGTTTTCCTTAAGGTTTTAAGATTATAGGATTATGCACTCTGGTAAAGAATTGCGGAAGAGATGTGAGGGAACTGTGAATTTATCTGTCAAAATGCACATTTTTCTTGTTATTTTAAGAGAGCATTAGAGAGAAAGGGAGGGACACACAGACAGTGTCTGAGAGTGAATGAACCCTTGATAAGCACAACTGAACTTGAATTTGATCTATGGTTTTATAGTTCAATTCATTTCCACATTAAATAATTTCTCATGATTTATCAGTTAGCTTTGCAGCAATTAAATTTGCTTGGATTCAAATATGATTTCTCATGTTCCTGATCGAAGAACATTTCGTGAGCCTTTACAAAACAAGGTAAAATTAATTTGAAGTTAGCACAACGTAGTTAGTTTGATGCCATTGAGTGTTAGTAAACTAAATTCTTTGGTGATGTTACATTCCTTTATTGTCCTACTCTAAACCAGGAAGGTATAATGTCCAATTCCTTTTTTTTTGTAAATAAGTTATTCATAATACTATTGAACCAAAAAATGTGAGTTGCTAAAGATAAATATTGGACCTAAATTATGACTATTTTTGTGATACATCTAAGTGCTATTTTCCAAGGTTTTGAATCATTTCTATTTGTTCACCCTGCCAATTATACAGAGTGATATCATTTTTTGAAAAAGAAATTAAGAGGAAAGAAAGGGTGCAGTGAACCTATTGTAGTGAGGTGATGTTAGATTTTACCTTCAAAACCGACACTAGTTACTGAAAGAAAAGAGAAAAGTCCCAACTAAAATTTAGGTATATTAGTTGTCAAATGCATTTTCTGTTAACTGTGTAGCTTTTAGTAGCATGTAAGGAACTGTTTGAATTTAGGGCACCAATGACACAGTCAGTGTGGAAATTGGAAGAAACATTTCAAGAATTTTCTGGCTGCAGGGCTCATATGACAGTAGATAAACAAATTTAGTGATGGATTTCCTGAAAGTAACGCCCATCTTTTGGTTTTGAATTATTTGAATAGGTATAGGTAGAAAATAACATGCTAATAAACAAAGTACAAGGACACAAATTAGCTATCCGTTGTGGCCTCTAATTGTTTAGCTACTGTTGACATTTACGAATATTTTTGACCATGACATGCAATGGTTTGATGGTTAAAGGCGAGGTGAGAAGGATTTTGCCGAATGTATGAATAAAAAACTTTAACGTGAGGAGGACAAAAATATTCTAGTATCTTAAAAAATAGGAAAAAGTTGCACATGAATTTCAATTACCAACTCTGTTTGGTGATGACAAATCAACACTAAAAATTATTATCACCCTTAAAAAAAAATTGTAAGCACTGTTTATATTGAGTGATCCAATAAAGAAGATTTTCAGAAACACCTTGTTAACAAAACATTTTAAGTCACCTGCCTTCTTTTCCACTGCATCAAAAAGGACATACATACCATGAAAAGGTTCACTCATGACAACACCCTAGTCTTCAGTGCTGATTTCTCGAGCTGGTTGAAAAGCAGCTATAAGACTGCTCAGCTGAATGTCCTCACTAGTTCCAGACACAAGCCTTCTTTCAATATCAGACATCTTAATCAACAAATGAACAAGAACATCTGAGGGGAGCTCAATACGGTGAACATAAACATGAACTTCAGTCAAAATGTCATGCAAGGCCAAGCCTTTTGCCAGTTTGAGCTCAGTAATTTTTTTAAAAGTGGAGGTGAAGTTATCATTCAAAAGCCATTTAACAATATTGGTTATGTCACTTTTAAGGGGATGACCGACACATGTGTAAACATTGTCCTCGGTTACCTCACCATAAGCCATGTGAGTGCTTTGCAGAACATTCAAAACCTTGCGCATATCACCCTGACCCAGAGTAATGAGGGCCTTTGCACCATCTTCAGTTATGTTGACCCTAAAAAGAGAAAATCAAGGTTGTTATTTGGGTTGGTGACATTGCATGGAAAGCAAAGAAAATCATCTTACTTTTCTTCATCCACAACATGCTGGAGTCTTGGGAGAATTTGGTTTGAGTCAAGAGGCCCAAATCGGAATCTGGTACATCTTGACTGAAGAGCAGGTATAATTTTACTGAGGTAGTTACAAATGATACAGAAACGCACATTATCTGTAAACTTTTCAATGACTGGAAATTTAAAAAAAAAGAATAAACAGTAAGTATACATTGATTGTACTGTTTCTACTGGTAACCAATGATCAATGTACTTACTTCTTCTAAGTGCATTTTGGGCATCATTTGTCATGGCATCAGCTTCATCAAGAATGATTAATTTGAAGCCTTTATTGAATATGGTTCGAGTACTAGCGAAGCTCAAAATCTGTCCCCGCACAATACCAATACCTCTGTCATCTGAAGCATTCAACTCCAACACCTTGGGAAAAAATAATTCATGATCTTTAAAGGCCTTCAAATGGTAATCAAACTGCAAAGGATGTTATCAGGAGATCATTGCTGTACCATCGATGAAAATTGGGCGGGTGTGTAAAGTTGTTTGGCACAAGCAAGAATGGTTGATGTCTTTCCCGTACCAGGTGGTCCATAGAATAGTAAATGTGGCAATTGGTCCTCTTTGATGAACCTGTTGACTGCAGATACAAAATAGTAATAATGAACTTCTAGGAAAACTTAAATGCAAAATTTGAAATGAAAGACCACAGCAACTAACTTGTGTTAATAATATCGTCATGAGATATCAACTCATCCAATTTGTTTGGACGGTATTTCTCCACCCTGCAAAGGAAGAGGAAAGATACATTAGTGAAATGACGGATACAACCTTTATTCCTTTCTGGGGAAAGAGCAACTAAAAATAGAGTGAAAACACCTCTTCCGGCACAGAGGTTAACTTACCATGGAAGGTTGACAGATTTACCCTTGCCACCAGACATACCAGCTATGGTTGAAGGCATGGGACTTGTGGAAACCTGTCAGAGGTTTTGATGGGAAAAAATTTTCAATTGAAAAATTAACTTTTTCAAGCAAACGAAGAGTTCAAGAACAAAGATACTCCAACAACAACACAGGCAGCGGGGCGCCAAAGTTTGCGATATGTGTACCAAACTCATTCGTCACATTTTTTTCTCGAAAATTTTGTACGAACAGCAGATAGGAAACATTTTGACAGAGAGATCAAAGAAAATCAAATTTCAAATAGAAAGATGAGCATGGTTGACGATGACCTCCAAAGCGTGTGTTTCCAATGTGGCTGTTCGTATTCTTTGTTTACGTCGTATGTTGGTCATCCTTTTTCTTCCGTCTACCAACCTGAACTAAAAAAAAAAGGTCGTGTTTTTGAACTGTCACATGACATAAACAATCTGTCATCTTGATTCAAGTAATTTTCTTGTCTGATAAACATTAACGCTAAATGAGGAACATACTTCTCACCGTCCAACATAGTTTTTTTAAGTCTGTTGTATCCCTGATAACTTTGGGCGTCTACAGAGACTGAGCAGAAGGGTGCAGTTTTTTTTGTTTTTTTTTTTTTACCGGCGTTGCTGGGCAACTTAAGTCCTAGGTCAACTTCAAATTTGAATGCGAAAAACTTCCATTGTGGAAGCTACAGTATCGTATCGCCAGGCGGGTGTGATGTAACAGGTGCCCCTGTTGCTGTTGAGCTTCAGTTACCAGTGCGTCGTTTCCATCCGCATTCGTCTCGTCTGCACCCTTTGCCGCAGTGGCTGTTGAGATGACCAAGGTTCGTGAACTTTATTATTGACGTTTGTTCTGTTTTGAGTCTCTATGAGTAGTTGCTTGCCGTCCTTTGTCGTGTTTTGGTCCACCCAGAATTACTTCTGACGTGTACTTGCCGTGTGGGGTGTGATTTTCAGTGAAAACGTCACTGTTTGGCTGTGGGATTTAGAAGGGCGGCCATAGCCTCAAAGGACAAAGGGTGTGGCTAATAAGGGCCTGGCATGTTGGCTTCTTTCCCCCCAGTTTCTTAGATACCCGCCTTTTCTTTTGAGTTGTTGTCTTGAAGGCTTTAGGGGGCTGGCCCTATCTCACATATCGGGTCAAAGGGCTTTTCTCGAAGGGTTGTGGGTGTGGTCCTGCGTTCAGCTCGACAGAATTATGTAGCACCACTCTAGGTTATGTATTATTTTTAGTGAATCATTACTGTATTTTTTAAAATGTTATGCTGCATCCTCTGGCATGCTGCTTCAATAAATCCGAGTTATTTTCTTCTTAGATGTCAAATTTGCTCCGATTGCCCTAAACATTGACTGACCTTGGTGTACAAAATTCCCTCAAAAATAAATTTAATTGTCATATTAGTTTTTAAACCCTACACCCACAATCTGTATTGATTGCATGAACTTCTGCAACAATCTTGCCTCTCTTGTATGAATAATTGCTGGCTGTATTTGTCTTTCTGAATGATCAACTCCACTTTTGAATTCCCCCTTTCTGTGTACTAGCATGTGAGCACCACTCCTCCCGAGTGCATCTGAAAGTACAGTAGCCTGTCCTGCCGGCGCGAAGCAGGACTCCGGCCTCCTTTGCATTACAATTTTTTGTTGTCACTTTTTCCTCGCGCTGGGGACATTCCTGTTAGCACTCGAGGCGTGCATATCCCCCGTTCGCACGGATATAAACTCGGCGACCTCATCCAGATCTAAAGACGGGGTAGGGGCTGAATGCGGTTTATCGTCGTCTAGGCTCCCCGGCCCGATAGTGCCGCCTTTGAGCCCGCGGCCCCACAGTCTCCCTTCGCGCGTCGCCGCGTCGCAGTGGGGAAGTCCGTCAGAGAGACGCGAGTGTCTGTCTCTCTCGCGCGCATGGGCGGTCCCCAGCAGTGCGAGAGAGACAGGGCGACGCGACGCGACGAAGCACTGCTCGTAACCGAAGACAACAGGTGTCTGTACGTGTGTCAGCCGAGCGATTCGGAAGAGTCGTTTCGTCGCTCTGTCTCTCTCGCACTCATGGGGCTCTCGGTCAGGGTGCGAGAGAGACAGAGCGACAAACCGATCTTCTGAATCGCCCGGCAGCATCATGAAAGAAGGGCGCCCTTCTTTGATGCCGGCAGTAGCGTATAGCTGCCTCCAACTCGATGGGGGCGGCCCGAGTAGGGCCCGAGCTGCCTTCCTGTGCCGTCGTTTCGTCCCTCTGTCTCTCTCGCACTCATGGGGCTCTCTGTAAGGGTGCGAGAGAGACAGAGTGAATCACGCGACTGGTCCCGAACAGAGCTTTCGTCGTTGTCTCTCTCGCACTCGCATGGGCGCTAAAGAGCGACGTGAAGCACTGTTCGGAGTCCTGGTTACGCGTTCATCGAAGGTTCTCAAGGTCGCTGGGCCTGAGCCCTGAGCCGCTTGTAAAGGGTAATCCTACCGCGATGCCGAAGAATCGTTTCGTCTTGTCTCTCTCGCACCCCTTGGACGGCACGCTCCTCGAGTGCAGTGCGACAAAGACGGGGTGACCGGAATCAAGTGCTCGGCAGTTTGTGAGCGCCACGCAGCCCGGCCGGCCACGGGCTCTGCGAAACTTGCTTAGCGAACCTTGCGAAGCGAAGCATCCGAGCCGAGCCCTCACAGAGTGGGCCAGAAGACCGGCACAGGCGGCCAAAACTCTAGACGCGTTTTGAGCTCCAGAGTCACGACCCGGGGGGGGGGGGGGGGGGGGTATATTTTGCCTTCCCACAGGGGCATGTGATGCTGGTTGACTACTATCAGGCGTTTTTGGGGAACCTCACAGGACTTGACTTGAAAGGCTCTGATCTTCCAGGACTCGAACCGAACGTGTGACCCCACCAATGGATTCCTCGTTCCGAGAGCAATCCATTGGTGGGGTCACACGTTCGGTTCGAGTCCCATCGAGCGACTGTGGAGCTCAAAACGCGTCCGGGATTTTGACCGCCTCCACCGGTCTTCTGCCGGGGGCTCGTCGAGGGGTTCACACGTGTGCGGGTGATTTGGGCGTAAGCGCGCGGGGGCGGGCAGGGGGAAGGGGGGAGGGAAGGGCGTCGGTCGGCGTCGACGCGCGCCTGCTTCGCGCTTCGCGCTTGGCGTGGCGGCGTGGCCGGTAGGTAGTATATCTGCGCTGCGTCGGTGCCGGCTGGCTGGTGAGCCGCGGCAGCGCGAGCGAGTGAGAGTGAGCGAGACAGCACGCGCGAGGCCGCGAGGCCGCGAGGCAGGACCGCGACAGTCAGCAGCACGCCGCCAGACCGCCAGCGCGAACGCCGCGTACCGAACCGCGAGCCCAGCCCAGCCAGGCCCAGCGTGTCAGCCCAGCCAGACCGCCAGCAACCGCCAGCCGCGCAGTTGAGAGTTGGGTCCGTCCTCGACCGAGAGCGAGGCCGCCAGCCAGCCCGCCCAGCCTAGGCCCAGGCCCAGCCCAGCCGGAACGGCGAGGATACACGTGGAGCGCCGCGCCTCCGACGCGCCTTCGCCGCTCGCAGCGTGAAGCAGCACTGCGGGGCTCGGCAGTTCGGCCGCACAGGGTGAGGACGCGCACGTCCAGTCGGGCCCCAAGCACACGGCCAGAAGACCGGTGCAGGCGGTCAAAGCCCCGGACGCGTTTTGAGCTCCATAGTCGCTCAATGGGACTCGAACCGAACGTGTGACCCCACCAATGGATTGCTCTTCGAACGAGGAATCCATTGGTGGGGTCACACGTGCGGTTCGAGTCCTGTTTAGAGACTCTGCGGCTCAAAACGCGTCGAAAGTTTCGGTCTTCTAGCGCACTGTGAGGGGGCGTCCCGAAGGGGTGCGACAGAGACAGACCGACCGAACGATTCTTCTCTCTGCAGGCGAAGGAGGCCCTGCTTTCGCCGGCTCGATTCTCCCCAGAATTCTCCCAGCCTCTGTACAGTCACGCGCAAAAAAAAAATTAAAATCGAAATCGGACCTGCTTTTCTCACGCGAGTTTCGCCCGAGCAGTGAATCACCATGTACACACATTCCGGTGCTTATCTTTTTACATAGCGGAAATTAACGCAGGTGCATGATTTGGCTTTGGTTTTTGCTGAGATCACCGCTGAAAAAAGGAGAAGACCGGTTCATATCTGCGGCATTGGTGATTACGTAATGTAAAGTGTGTGGCTCATTCAGCTCCTTGAGCACTCGTGTGATTCACTCACTCCTCCCACGTGTCCCGCTCGGTCGCCGGCTCCATTGACAGTGCGTGTAATAGTGTAGTTGTCGAGTCTGGGTCGTGAATAGTGCCGCGGAGTAGGGGCGCCGATTGCGTAGTCTCGCAGATCGTATGGTCTAGCCTCTCAAGTTCAAGTTCAACTGGACAGGGGCCCGCGTAGCTAGTTGCCTATCATGCGTTTCACTGAAAATTGCAGGCTGAGAATTGTGACCAAATTTTGTCGAGAAATATTTCTCACCGTCGAAGAATCAAAATTCTCACCCGAAAGAGGTGAGAATTTCGTTTCTCGCCCCGAAAGAGGTGAGAATTTCGTTTCTCGCCCCGAAAGAGGTGAGAATTTCGATTCTCGCCCCGAAAGAGGTGAGAATTTCGATTCTCACCGCGAAAGATGTGAGAATTTCGTTCCTCACCACACACAGGTGCGGTGTGATTGCGAGAAAACTGCCCGGAAATTCCCCGAAATTCCCCCCCCCCCTCTTTTTTCGCGAGCGTACTTCTGCCTGGGTTTTGGGCTGTCGGTGCTTTGTAGCTGTCGCTCGCCGCCGCCACTGTAGAATCTGACGAGGCAGCGCTATACGGCTAATGACTCGCAGACTGCATGCTGCCATGCAATCTAGCAATCAATCGGCGCACTGGGCGGCGTGCGTCAGCGCGTCAAATGGGAATTAAAATGGTTGGCGGTTGAAGGCGTGAGAGCGCGACACCGTCGACCAACACCATTAAGCTCTGGAAGGGTCATAAATCGCGGAGAGTCAAAACTGGGTTAAGTGAAAGGCATCTCCACAAAACTAGTGCTTAAGACTTTTGTTCTGAAGAGCAGTTTTAAACACTCTGAAAACCTTATTTTGGCCCCTTTTTAAAGAAAATCAACTTGTTATAACAAAGTATTTTGAGCATACATAAGCTTACAAAGAAACCATTTTTCTGGGTGTGAGGCCCAAGGCGGTATCCGTTCCGGTTGGAGTCGATATACTATAACAACGGTATTCCTCGGCGCTGGATACCGGTATCAAAATTCCGGCGTAGCGCGCAGGCCTTCCAAGGCCACCTCGCCTTCCAAGGCATTGCCGGGTATGCCTCGGCCCTCGACATTTTTTTTTTTTGAACAGATTTATTGGCCTTTAACAGTATAAAATTTGTAAGCCTGGGCTAGCCTGGGCCACTGGTTGAGCGCTTGGCAAGGTTCCCATTCGTGTGTAACTTTCGACGTCCTTGTCCACGGCCATGGCCACGGCCACACCGTTACGGCCGTTTCGGCGCGCGGACGACCATTTTGCCATGCGGCTTAGACAATAGTCAACTTAAACGCGAAAATTCCGTTCACAAGCCAATTGGCTCAAACCGTGTGTACCCACGTGACAGCGTGGGCCACTTCAAAAATGAGCTGACCCAATAAAAAAAACCCGGTGTCAGCTGGAGGTTTTTTCCTCTCCATGTTCTGGAACACCCGACGTACGGCACTGCTCGGGACCCCCGTGCTGGACGTAGTTGGGTCGGGGTTGCCTACCCGTCAGGCGGTGAACACGGTACCGAGCCGCTCTTGACTTGATAGGCTAGACCACAAAAGATCGCGGTAACTGCCATGCTTGCACTGCACAACACGACAGACCATTGGTACAAAAAGCAGGTACCAATCTCGGCGACTGGGGCGCTCTTTTTTTTGGTGGGGCACTTAGCCGCACCGTAAGTACCGCAGTGCGGGAAGACCCCTCGTGCGATTTGGGCCGTTTGGGTGTACACTGTGTACACCGGACCGGATGAGGCCACCTGCCGAGGTGTGACGCGACCGGGCCCGTCATTAGATAAGATAAGCCCGTCTGCGTTTACGCATGCTTTTAACTAGAGAGGTTTTTTTTTCATATCCTTTTTTGCCCCACTTTTCGCACGTGGATGTCACGGGCTCTCCCTGCTCCCCCCTCTTCTTTCCCTTTCCAGCGGCGGACGCCAGTCAGACGCCTGGCGTTGAGTCACTGAGGGCAAAACGGCCAAAACACCCAAACCATCACGGTGCGATGCACGACCGTCACGCTGGCCTGGCTCGCCTGTCTGCACGAGGCGCTTTATGCAACATTGGCGGGATGCACTCTTTTCAAAGTCACGAACTTGCGTTTTTTAAAAACGTAAATTTTTTAAAGACAGTGTTCATTTTATTAGAAAAGACGACATTTTTTTATTATTTTTTTTAAGCTAGCTGACACCTTAATGTGTCTTGTAGTTTTAGGTATATTTTAAAGTAAAGGTATCATCTGCTAAAAAACTATTAGTCGAAAAAGGTAATTTTTTTTTCTGCCCGCAGATGGGTGTGGTGGACGTCCGCCAGCCTCTCGGGGACGATGGCGAGCAGCGTCGTGAGCGGCGTGCCTGGCACCACGACGCGCAGGCCCTGCACGAGCTGGCCCCGGACCTCCCCGTGCTGCCGGGGCCCCTCACGGAGTACCGCCAGATGGCCTCGTTCGACTGGAAGCAGCTGCGCGTGCTCCTGGAGGACCCGGAGACCCTCAGAGTCAAGGTGGGCTGCCGCTTGGCTCTCTGTAGCCTATTTTCACCGGAGTGGTAATTCACTCTGGTGAACGGTAGTGACCAGTGGAACATTTTGGGTGGCGAATTCCCTTTTTCCCTTGTCTTTACCTCCCTTGAATTTTTTCTTTATGGAAAAAAAAATAAACATGTTTAATTTTTTTTATTAGATGAACCTGTGGAGGAAACTGGAAGCAGACCCTATGTTTGCTCACCCAAAAGCGACACCTTCCGTAGAAGAACAAAAGCGGCATGTGGCAGTTCAGTTAAAACGATTTGTTGAGATTAATTTAATTCCACGGGAGGTTCACTCCTGGGGCTACAAAAATAAGGTTGGTAGATTGAGATGGATTTGTGATAGATTTTTTTGCTGGCTTGAATTTTATCACTCTATTATCTGTCTTGATTTCAGACTAAGTTTATGATGGCAGTGAATGCAGCAACTGCATCCTGGAACAAAAATTTGTCTGTGAAATTTGGCTTGGGTGTTTCATTATTCACAAATGCCCTTCTTAGTCTTGGAACTGAGAGGCATTTGCCTTTCTACGAAGCTGTGTGGGACAACAAGGTAAATGGTTCAGGAATTGCGTAAGAATTTTTAGTTTTTAACATCGAATGTTCAATTAACTCCCCTCCTTTTTTGTGCTTTGTAGTTCCTATTTTGTTTGGGAATGACAGAGGTTGGCCATGGAAGCAACACCAAAAGTGTTCGCACAACAGCAACATACGACCCCAAAACTCAAGAGTTCATCATACACACTCCCGACTTTGAGGCTGCCAAGTGTTGGGCTGGTAACCTAGGTATGATTGCATTGCTTTCATTGATATTAAGGTTTATAATCTGTTATCCTACCATTAGTTCTTTGAATGATAATGTAAATGTAAGACAAAATACTTACAAGACTTTGTTTGGCCAGGTAAAACTTGCACCCATGCAATGCTTTTTGCTCAGTTGTACACGGCTGATTCTTGCCATGGGCTTCATGCTTTCCTTGTGCCCATTCGTGATCCAGAAACTCTTACTCCATATCCTGGAGTTAAAGTAGGTGATATTGGAGAGAAGGCAGGTTTAAATGGCATTGACAATGGGTAAGCTTTTTTTGTTTGTTTGTTGGCTTCACCGAGGTTTATTTGCTTTGAAAATACTGCATTACCTCAATGCTTATGTTATTTTACAGGTTTGCTATGTTTGATCATTTCCGTATCCCAAGAGAGAATCTGCTGAACCGCACTGGTGATGTGACTCCTGATGGTGAATATGAATCGTGCTTCCAAAACCCAGAGCAGATTCTTGGTGAGTCCATTGCATTGATTCTTCCTTTTACTAATATAAGCCTCACAGAAGAAAAAGAATGTCAGCTATCAAATGATTCCTTCTAAGTTATTCAGGTATTCTTCAAGAAAAATTAATGTATCCTGTATCCTACCCAACCCATCCTTCCAGCCTTCGAATTCCCCAGCTGATGTCATGAGAGGTGTGGCGCTAAATTCTAGATATTTTGAGAAATTTTTTCTCTGATGTAGATTATACTCAGCGCAAACCAACTATAAAATATATAAATAATTAGCTTTTTAAGTTTTTAGAAGCAGCTTAGTAGTTCTGAGATTTTTTTTCTTTCTGTATTGTTTGTTTGTTTGATTCTCTTTTTTTCCTTTTTTTTAAAATTAAATATCTGTGATTCTGCTTTCTAATTGTTTGTTTCATTTTTTCAGGAGCTGCTCTGGAAAATTTATTAGCTGGTCGTGTTGCCATTTCTCAAGAAAGCACTCATGACCTATGTGCAGCTGTAACCATCGCTGTACGCTATGCTGCTGTGAGGAAGCAAGGAAGTCCTCGTAATTCTAAAGAGGAACTGTCAATCTTAGAATATCCTCTCCATGTAAATTACTTTTGCTGCCCTTGGAGTTGTAATAGTGCTGAAGTAGGTCCCATGCATTTATACTCATTTCTTTCGTCCATCTTGTTGCAGCAATGGCGTCTATTTCCTTATGTGGCTGCTGCCTGCTCTTTCAAAGTATTCATGGATCTCTTTACCGACCAGTATTTGGAGATTGTTGAACAGTCTTACAAGGGTGCTGAAATGAAAGATATAGTATGTAATGCTGGAAATTTGCCTTAGATGGATTATGATAATCAGTAGTATTTCTTTTAACATTGTATTTTGTTTATCTTAGACTTCTATGGCTGCAGAGGTTCATGCCATAGTGTCTGCCATGAAGCCCTTAATAACATGGACATGTGCCTCAGCTCTCCAGGAAAGTAGAGAGGCCTGCGGAGGCCATGGTTATCTAAAATGTTAGTAGGACCATTTTTGTGTGCATGTTGTTTGTGATGTATTTCCTACTTTTCTAAAAACATTTACTTTTTTTTAGCCTCAATGCTTGGAACTATGAGAGCTGATCATGATGCCACTGTTACTTATGAGGGAGACAACAATGTATTATCTCAACAAGCTAGTAATTGGGTTGTCAGACACTGGAGTTTGGCTAAGCAGGGCAACTCTGCCGCTCTCCTCGATGCATCCCCTCTTGGCACATTAAACTTCCTCTTGAATGCCGAAGATAAACTGAAAAAACGTTTTACTGGGACATCAAAGACTGATGTGATGAATGCGCACTGTGAGTAAAACAAGACATTGTGTCTCCAATAAAGGGACAAGAGTTGTCTTGTCAGGTTTTGATTTTCTCTTTACTAAATTTGCAAAATATTTCTTTTTTAGTTGTGATGGCTTCCTATGAATGGTTGTTATGTTGGCTGACCAAGGCTCTTGACAATCAACTTCAGAAGCTGAAAAGTGCTGGTGTTGATCGTTTTACTGCTCGCGCAGAAGTTCAGGCTTTCTATGCTAAACCACTGGCTTTAGCATATGGCGAGGTAAAATATATTTCCACAGATTTACCTCTTACTTCCAGGAAGGGTGGTGAAATATCCACCTTTGTAAATCCTAGGTGCCTTTTCTAATAGACCTTGTGTTTTACAGAATAATGTATTGTGTTATTTCTGGGAAAAAATCCAGACACCAGGAATCCCCAGTGAAATTAAATGTGTACTTGAACGACTCCTTGTTCTTTATGGTCTATGGGGTATCCAAAGGCACTTTGTTATTTTTTATAGAGGTAAGCCCCACTAAATTTGTTCTTGTTCACACCTATAATTGCCATTTCGGCATCTCTATATCTTTTTTGTTTTGTGTTGAATTATAGGAGGCTATGCAACTGGTTCTCAATTAGCTGATTTGGTTCAAGAGGCATGTCAGACAGTTTGCAACCAACTGAAACCTGATATTGTTGCCATCGTTGATGCTATTGCTCATCCAGATGCGGTTGTTAAATCTATTTTAGGACGATCCGATGGAAGGGTAAGAGCATGTGCTATCAAACTGACCTATGTCATCACTTTCATATTCCCTCCTTTTATTTGTTATTCCTCCCTTCCAGATTTATGACCACCTTTATGATGCTTTCATGTCTCAACAAGGACATATGGAGCGGCCTGCTTGGTGGCGTGAGGTAGCAGCCAAGCCTCAATCAAAACTATAAATATTTAATGAAAGCATTTGGTTTGGTAGGTCATCTCTAGTGAAGATATCATGTCATGATTAACACAGGTACTATGATACAACAGTATTGCGAATGTTTTGAGTCAGAATGTATTTTCCTGTTCTTTGTATTCTCAACTATGATCAGAGTTGATATTTTTGTATTGTGTTTGTACAGAAAAGTACTAGTAAGTTCCCTAGGTTTCAACTAGGCTACAAGTTTCAAGTTAACGTAATCTCAGTATTTTTAAATTTGTATTTTCTGTGGCAATATTTAAAGTCTATCTTTAAGGTCATCGGCTGTGCAGGTTGCAGCATCCACTTGTTCCTTCAAATTATTATAATTTTGATCAATGCAGTATTTGATTTTGTTACAGTATCCCTAATTTATACTCCTTATCTTGAAATTTATTTATTAATGTCATTCTTGTCAGCCATTTGCAGTGTGAAAGATATTAACTTTGAAGACTGTGTGTTAGTGTGTGTAAATATGATTGTTACTGTGGTGTCATTCCAGTTACTTAAAACAGATTAGGGGAACAAATACGGGATGTTCTTAACAGTAGTTAGCCTTGTCTAGTGTTTATGTAAGTTAGGAATCTTGATCCTTATTTATGAATGCATTACTAGACTGGTGATCACACCACATGATTTTTATCTTTCAATATGTATGAAATCTTGAATATCATGTAAAATGATATTTGTTTGTGTTCCTAAGAAGAAAAAAAACTTGATATTTCTCACCTAATTAAGTTTTTAAATCACAGTTGTTTCCTTTAGATTTAGTTTCTAAGAAAACAAATATTCTTCCATTCTTTGCTTCCATTTTCAAGTCATTTGCATAAATTTGTCATTTATTCATTGTACACCACCCTTAATTGTTTCTTCCACATCTTGCAGTCAATGTTGGTTCTAAAAACCTGCTTGTTATAAATGGGTGAATAACTCACCCAGATCTGGTCATTTTCTGTGGTTGACCAAAGAGTATTCATTACTGTTACCTTAAATGACTGTTGATTTATCTTGAAATGACTTCAACCTTCTTTAGAGGCTTGTTACAAAATGATTGAAAGCCAAATTGATCCAGATTTTTATAGAGTATATGATTTGTTTTAAAATAGCTCATTCAAAATGGCAGGTGATAAGGTCAAATTTACTAAATTGAGAGGGACAACCTTACCTGATGAAGGTCTCTAATTTGAATTCTTGTAGATTCAACCTAACTTCTAAATGTTCTCAATTATTGTTTGTTGTGCATTTGATGCTTTTTTTTTTTTTTCCGTCTTTGATTGTGATCTTGCCTGCTCTTCATGTCTTGCCGTCTGCTATTGCATTTATGTTTTTTGAACGATTTGTGGCGGAGTCTGTTGCTCCTATTGATTACTCACTCAACATGAATTAATAATTTTATAGTGCCTTCTCCTTCATTTGGTTAAACTGTGCTGTATGGGCAGCAGCTTCTTTTTCCTGTTTTTTATAAATGTGTGAGGATGTAAAAACAATAAAAAGCTTTGTTTTATATGAAGAGTTTCATTCATCAACCCTGGGATTATTACAACCTGAGAAAGACAAATAGCACATTCAAAACTTCATTCAGTTGATGGGCCTGACTTTGTCTCAGAATCCTGAGACTGAATGTATTCCATTTGATTCCGGATAACCTCTCTTAAAACCTGGAACCAACAGATACCCAAGATGAAATATCTACGGGAAGCTATGTTGAACTTCCACTCTCTGAAAAAAGTATTCACTAATCTCACCTCGGTGTGGGTCTTGCGTGATGTGTGAACTTTTTTGTGGGTCACGCGTCGGCGCTTAGCATCCCTCTGTTCGGCTAATAGCTCTAGCTTGGACTTAGGACGGGACTGCTTGTTGTCATTAAAAGACCTGCAAAATATATGTGAAGGACAAATAAATGTTAGATTGCTGGTCAGAGAACATTATTGAAAGGGTAACTTTTAAAATAATGAGTGTAGCTTCAATCAAAATGTCAAGTAATTTCTTACGGCAACTGGAGCTCTTCCGCTGTAATCAATGGCCTTGATGTCCTAGAGATCACATCCTCATGCAAAGCATTACGCTCAGATGGACTAAAGTCAGTTAGCAAACGGGCTGAGGTCCTAGGTGGAGGTCGGGGCTCTGTTGATCCTGGTGCTGCCGAAGGAAATATATTATTCAATCACAATAACAGACTTTAACAAAGACCATGTACTTTGCATGTCCTACTCCTCGATCAATTGATTTTTAGAACATAGGAGACACACACCTAGATTGTCAACATGACTGGATGTAGCTTTAAACAACGCTTCTTGAAATTTCTCTGGACCTACAAACAAAATCCAAAATAAAACATGAGATTGAATAGCCAAAAGGCTTGAGTTAGGTGAGGAAGTAACAAAGCAAATTTACCCAGTACTGTGGAGGATGAAGGAAATTCTGACGCTGTAAGAAATTCTTCATCAGATTGATAGCCCTCTTGACGAAGAGAGCACTTTTTCAAGTGCCTATCCAGACTCCGTTGGGGCATGCGATGCTCAGGGTTCAGCGGACAAGATACCATTTTCGGCTCCTAAAAAAGGATTCGGAGAGTAAATTATCAAAGTAATGCAAACCGGTGAGGGAGAGACAGGTTAGCAAGATGCGTTCGTCACATTATACCTCTTCCATCAGAGAATCATGGGACCAGTTCAACGAGTTCAAAATAGATGAAAGCTGCTGTTTTGATTTATTGATGTATTCCTCTAGATCCATGAGATATTTCCTCCTGTCCTCGACGGAAACTGACATTTTCGATTGTTTCAATCCACCACAAAAACAATAACAAACCGAATTTTCCATACTACCTCATGGCCCGTCACTTTGGTATGAGAAACGCACTGGGGCCAAGCCGCGAGTATTATCTTGGAGAGCACTTGTGTGAAAGCACTGCGCGAGGCTAGATGGTTCGGGACCCGAGCGTAACCCGAGCGAGCGCGGGAGGACCCACTGGCGAAACGACTGACCAAACCGAAGTCGTGTGTTTGCTCATTTTATGTTTTTCTTTAACTCTAGAGGTAAAAAAAATGTTACCATGGGCTTTTTATAAAATGGGCCGCATAAGTGTTTTTTTAACAATTTGACAATATGTTGGAAAAAAAAACAACAAACCTCTTGCATCAAGTGAATTATGTGAACTGTATTACTCAACTTATTTTCCAAACCTTTTTAAAATTTGGATAAAAATTAAAAGATAAAACAGAAATTTTTGTTTAGCTTTTTTAAATTAGTCGAACCAATTTTTTTCTCAAACTTGCTAAAACAAGACTCCGTCAATGAAAGTGCCGAAATTTTGCAGAGACGCAGAACTTAAAATTCTTCGGACCAGACCTTGAGGTCAAAAGTCAGTCACAAGAGACATTTTAGTTTAAACGCTAAAATGGAATGATAGCTCAAGGTGAGGTGTGGGAGAAAAACAGCTATTAACACAAAATAAAAACAATTCGTATTAGTGTCCATTGAATCCTGTACTAAAGAAGTTGCGAATATGACTAATGTATTGTAGAACATCTAACATGCACAAACAAAATTTAAAGAAAGTTGTAAGCTTCCAGTTGTCGTAATCTCTCATCGATTAGTTTAAGAGATTCCGCGCAACAGTTATGGTCAGGTCTAGTCTTCGGCCTGATAATTTATCTCTCTTTTTCTTCCGAAGTTTCTTAGATAGTTGTCAACAGAATTGAGAAGCGAAAATGATGCACTTGTTCACATTTTGGAACAAAAAAAGAAATATTAGGCCAGTAAATGTCACCATTTTTGTTGACTTATGGCAATTTTTCCCCATCGTATATTTTTAAAATATTTTTCCAAAATTAGTTTTGATTTGTGGCCATCCTTTCTTCTTTTCCCCAAGCAATATGAGTGACTTAGTGACTTTAGTTGCATGATCAGAATAATTGAAATTCATATGGCACCTTCGGCTTTGGCTTCGGGCCGAGTCGGGGCCTTCGGCTTGCCTTCGGCTTCGGGTCTCCGTTCGGTTCGGCACCTCCTAGCCTCTCGCAGGGCACCTTTCACACAAGTGCTCTCCAAGATGAATACTCGCGGCCAAGCCATTCAAAGTCAACGCGGGAATCAGTGGCATTCCCTCGTACTTCTTTTGAATTTCTCCATTAGTTTGTAATTGTATTTCGAGTCGGAATCCCCTATTTTGAAGAAGCACTTTTCGTTTCCGAGAACAGCGAAACCTCATGAAATGAGAAGAGATAAAACTTCAACTTTACTTTAACTTCATAAACTTCGGTTAGCCTACATACAGCCTGGGACTCCCACCACCACCCCAATAGCCCCACCTCAGCGGCTTCGTTCTTGTATTTCTGTCTCTCTCGCATCCCTATCTGACACTCCATGAGTGTAAGAGAGACAGAGCGGCGAAAAACTGTCCATTCCCTCCCCCTCCCCCTCGCAAGCCTGTCTCAGAGAAATGCTGATCCATGGCTCGGACAGAAGCGCAGCCGGGCGTCTCAGAAGAGTCGTTTCGTCGCTCTGTCTCTGTCGCACTCATGGGGCTCTCCCTAAGGGTGCGAGAGAGACAGAGCGACAAGTCGATCTCCCGAATCGCTCGGCAGGAGCGGTCAGCGGGACGTCGCGCGGCGGCCGGAAGTTTACAATGAAGTCCCTCGACCTCGTGCAGTGTACAGCCCGCGGCGGCCCGCGGCCCTTTTGTCCGGCTGATCGGGAGGGGGATAGGGGGAGGGGGAGGAAGGGAGGTCCATAAATAGACCTAAACATGGCAGGCCGGACCCCAGGGACAACGCAGGAGAGGTCAATCTTGTGCTACCTCAAATGTAGGGCTGCGCCTTATGCATCGTCGGTCCTGAGGGGAAGGGAAAGGGGGGGGGGGCAAAAGTTCAGTCAGTCTGCAGAATCACAACCAGCGACGGTAGCAACTAGGGAAGGTATAAGGTAAAGCACCCTCTTTCCTTTCCTCGCTCGAGGCGATTCCAGAAGCCCAGCACCTCATCCTTGACGCACGTGGTCGGCACGTGCAGCCCCCAGCAGACTGAGAGTCGTTTTCGTCGCTCTGTCTCTCTCGCACTCGGGGCGTCCCGCATAGGAGCGAGAGAGACAGAAAATGACCCTCGGAATGAGTCCACGGGGCAGACTGGGCCGGGGATGGCACACCTAGAACCCCGCAACTCCGCGTAGCCACGGGGCGCTAGCGACGGGGCGCGGCCTCGCGGTTGGGCGAAGGGCCCCGCCACGGCTAGGCCCATTAGTGATATTGCTGTCAAGGTTAACTGTCCTCGTTGACGACGGGGCCCTGGATTGCGTCCACGCTGGTCCTCGCGAGGCTCCCCGCCAGCGTGCCGCGCGGTGCCGCTGTCTCCCTCGCACCCCCCAGGGACGTCGCAAGCGCGCAAGAGAGACAGATCGAGGTACGGAGGTACGGAGGTACGGAGGTACGGAGGTACGGAGGTACGGAGGTACGCAGGTACGGAGGTACGGAGGTACGGAGGTACGGAGGTACGGAGGTACGGAGGCACGGAGGTACGGAGGTACGGAGGTACGGAGGTACGGAGAACCACTACGGGAGGTCCGTACCTTTTCCGTACCAAACTACGGAATTTAATGCGGTGTGGCCCCAACCAAATATAAAAGCTCGGGACGCGATGGAACGACACACGAATGAATGGTGTCGGCTGCAGGCGTCTCGTCGGGGCGTCGATTTGGCGCTGGGGAGCTCCAGCTAGTTTGGCCAGTTTGACGGACCGTCAGCCCGAGTTGCTGAATAGAGGGGCGGGCGGCGAGGTTATGGGGGTATGAGGCCGTGGCGGCGACGGCTGGTGGGACCGCCCACCTAGAGTCCACCCGGGACCCAATTTAGTGGCATTGGGGGCGACCATTATTATAAAGGCTTCTCTCTCTCTCTCTCTCTCTCTCTCTCTCTCTCTCTCTCTCTCTCTCTCTCTCTCTCTCTCTCTCTCTCTCTCTCTCCTCTCGCACCGATTATGAAAGGAAACGGAATACGCTAAGAAAGCGTCCCGCCGTGCGGGGTCCACGACCTTCTTCAGCACAAAAGTAAACAAGAATGAAAATCAGAACCGGAAAGAAAAACCGCAGAGCAAGGGGGTTGGTATGTCCAAGGGGGCCTGACTCCTACACTTTGTACACTTTGTACAAGAATAATACCTAACATCTATAATACTAAAATCTACCATGAAAGTCGGCTTGTGTAGTGCAGTTTCAGCTTTAAAATCACAGAGTTTTGTAAAGTTTTAACTGAGGGAAGTCCAGGATTTTTTTTAAATGGAGAAAGAGTAACAAAGCAGCGCTAAAATAGTTGCCCGGGTGCCCTTAATAACTCACTTGCACATTTTGTAAATTATTTTTGCAAAGAAAACCACGAAATATGACACAAATATCGACTTAAAATATCCGAAATAATACCCATAATACTCCATAGTACCAATAATATATAATACTTCGTACGCGGTTCAGGGGAGTCATCCCCCCTTGAGTCACGCTCCAGGAATGAGGGTGTAATGGAGAGTAAAGTAGAGCGCAAGACGTAAAAGACGGGTCACTGGTTTTGAGAGTGCATCTGCATACCCTCTCGCCGCGGGTGGAGATTTTCAGCGGCGGGCGGAACAGGATTGATCCGGACTTGGCTAAATTACCGCGGCAGCGAACATATCAGCCTGGCAGGCACAATTTGTCCCCTCCCCGTGGCGGCCGTGGCGGCCGTGCGGTGGCTTCTTGATGGCTTTCTCGAGCTCCAGCCGGCCGAGCCCAGCAGGCCGCCCTGCCTCTCTCGCACCCACACGGGACGCCCCCTGAGTGCGAGAGAGTCAGAGCGACGAAAACGACTCTCAGTCTGCAGGCTGTGCCCTCGGCTGTGCCCGTGTGCTGCCGGGACGCTGCCGGGACGCTGCCGGGGACGTCGAGAGATGAGCCCCTCCAGGCCCTCAGTAGCCAGACTGGCTTGCTGCCCGTCATAATCCACGCCGACGTTGCCTCGCCTCGTGAAGCGTGTGCTCGCGCGCTCGTGCAAAGTGTCCGCCGCGCGCGTGTGTGAGTGCGTGTGTGTGTGTGTGAGTTGGTGTGAGTGCGGTGTGAGTGGGTTCACGTGCTTCAGCGCCATGTCAGCCTGCGCCCCGGAGGACGCGCTCGCCCTGGTGGTGGTGCAGGGCGTGGCGGTGGTCGTGCTGTACCTGGTGTGCAAGTAGACGCCGTGTCCTTGGCGGCGAGGCGCGCGCGTCCCTGGCCGGGGCGGGCCAGGCCCGGGCCGTGGCGGGGGCCGTGGCGGGGGCGCGGCGCGGCGGCTGGTGGCCGCTGCCGCCCCTGACCGTCCTCATCGCGTCCGCCGTGGTCCGCGCCGGCCGCGCCCTCGCCTCTGGGCGCCGCGCCGCGAGCAGGGCCGCAGGGGCGGCGGTGGGGGCGGCGGGGGCGGCGGGCACGGCGGCCAGGGTCGCCGCCAGGGCCGCGGGCGCGACGGTGCGGGTGACGGCGCGCCGCCTCAGGGCCGCGCTGCGCCGAAGGAGCCTCCGACGCAGGAGGGAGCGTCGCCTGCCAAGCCTGCCGAGAAGCCGGCGGAGGAGAGGCGGAGTGCAGCGCCGACAGGGCCGCCAGCAGGACCGCGATGGACTCCGCGTCGCCGGCGGCGTCCTCGCCCGGGGCGGCCGCGCACCCGCTGTTCGAGCCGGCCGACTACGCCATGTTCGCGGTGATGATGGCGGTCTCGGGCCTGGTCGGCGTGTACTACGGCTGCTACAAGAGGCAGGACACCGTGCAGGACTACCTGCTCGGCGGCAAGGCCATGAACATCTTCCCCGTGGCCATGTCACTCATTGCCAGGTACGACGGGACCGAGGACGGGACGACCACCTGGCGACAGATTACATAGGGCTGCATAGCTCGCTAACCCGAGAGGGTTACACTGGAGGAACTGAAGCGTGCTTGTACTCCTTTCTACAAGCATAGTGATTACTACGTTTGGCTGCAAGCCTAGCGGTTGCTCACGCTTGGTTTCAAGCGTGATACTACGCTCCGCACCTCTTCCGCCTTCCTAAATACATGGGAGAATACATTCTCTCAGCTCCAGCTCAGGCGTTCACGAGCTATGCAGCCCTCGAGATACGCAAACGCTACATACGCAGTCGCCCATGCAGGTGAAAAATGTGAGAAATGGGTGGATTCGAACCTCGGACTTTGCACAGCAACGTGTCCGGCATCACGATGCTGGGAGTGCCCGCCGAGATGTACACCTACGGCTCCCAATACTTCGCGCTCAACTTCTCCGCCGTGTTGGTGTGCGTTGTAACGGTGCGGTGGTTCGTCCCCGTCTTCTTCACTCTGCAGTTCACTTCATCCTACGAGGTGACTTGGGTTCAGATACCATCAAGGAGACTTCAATTTTATTTTTAAATGTTGCGCCGCTGATCCAACTGTTTCTTCTCCGACCCAGTACCTTGAGCATCGGTTCAACAGGACAATAAGACAAATAGCGTCTTTCCTGTTTGGTCTAGGTCTGGTTAGTACAGAAATCTTAACGAAAAGTGTAAGTTTACTGTTTTTCAAAACACACCATAACAGATTCCATTTTCTTTGTAGCTTTTGTACTTGCCAGTGGTCATTTACGTGCCATGCTTAGCATTTAATCAAGGTAAAATAACACGCTTATGTTTCAGTTTTCAAACTAAAAACTAGTATTTGTTGTAAAATGATTGATCCTTTTACTTACTTTACAGTGAGTGGCATCGACCTGCACATCATTGCTCCTCTCGTCATGTCAATTTGCATTTTCTACACGACTGTGGTGAGTCCCCCACACGCTTCAGAACCTTACTATTATTTTGTTTGTTTTGTAAAGAAACAGCAGTTTGTAAATCACAAAATATTTTCTTTGTAAACATGTGTGTGCTCAAAATATTTTGACATAACAAGCTTCTATTCTTTGCAAGGCCGAGGCATACCCTTCGCCTATGATACACTGGTAAAACACAGGCATAAAAATTACGCTCTTTAGGGCATAAATACTCTTTTACGCCCTTCCCAAGGGCAGAAATCGTTTTATGCCCTTGGGAAAGGCGTAAATGGTATAGGAATTTCAAGCAAAATTTGAATGCCCTTCCCAAAGGCATTAACGATTTATGCCTTTGTTTCACCAGTGTGTAGTTTGTAAGGCTGGCGAGTGCATTCTTCAGGTTAAATTTAGAGAGGACTGTGCACTAACTGGAGTCTGGGCTGCAGGGCGGCCTGAAGGCCGTCGTGTGGACGGACGCCCTGCAGTTGGTCGTGCTGGTGGCGGCCTCCATCGTCGTCATCACCCTGGGGGTCATCATGATCGGCGGGCCCGGCGAACTGCTGGCCAGGGCCAACATGGGCGGCAGGTTGGAGCTGTTCAAGTACGTCCACGCAAGTTAAAATAGTAACCTAAAGTATCCGAGTAAATTACCTAACATAGTAAATAACCTCACCTAATCTGGTGAATGACCTCATCTCACCTAGTAACCTCACCGAGACCTCACCTCACCCAGTAACCTCGCCTAACCTAGTGAATAACTTCACCTAACCTAGTAAATAACTTCACCTAACCGATAGTAATTAACCTCACTAACCTAGTACATAACCTCACCTAAGCTCCTTAATAACCCTAACCTAGTGAATAACCTCACCTAACCTTGTAATTAACCTCACCCAACCTATGAAATAACCTAAACTAGTAAATGACCTCACCTTAACCTAGTAAATAACCCAGCCCAGCATATCCCCAGCACATTATAAACTTAAAAGAGGACCTGTTGCTGCAGCATGAACCCCGACCCGCTGGTGCGCACCACGTTCTGGACGGTGTTCGTGGGCTCCGTGCCGGACATCTTGTGCAACCACGCCGTGTCCCCCACGTCCGTGCAGCGCTTCCTCAGCGTGCCCACGCTCCGCGACGCGCGCTGGTGAGTCGACAGTCTTTGAACAGGAAAAATTTAAAAAAAGACTTGTTGTGAAGGACTTTTAACAAGTCGATGTTTTCGGCCACGGACACTGGCGGGTCCCCACAGGCTCGGCATCTTCCTCTGCATAGGCTACATCGTCACCAAGGCCCTGAGCTGCATCACGGGTATCCTGGTGTACGCCACCTACCACGACTGCGACCCGCTCAAGACACGGGTACGACCGCAGGCCGCACAGTGGGCCAAGACTGGCGGAGGCGGTCCGTCGCGTTTTGAGCTCCAGAGTCGCTAAATAGGAATTGAATCAAACGTGTGACCTCACCAATGGATTGCTCTCCGAACGAGGAATCCATTGATGGGGTCACACGTTCGTGGTTCGAGTCTCTCTGGAGCTGAAAACATGTCCGAGCTTTAGACCACCTCCACCGGTCTTCTATGGCCCACCATGCTTGGCTTTGGTTTCTCCGAGCTTTCTCTGTGCTCGTTTAGTCAAAGAGCCTGCCTTTCAGTTTTGTTTTCTTTCCAGGCCATCAAGAAACCCGACCAGTTGGTGCCGTACTTCGTCATGGATGTGGCCAGAGTGGTCCCTGGACTGCCGGGCCTCTTCGTCGCCGGAGTGTTCAGCGCCGCTCTGAGGTCTGCCTGTCTGTCTGTCAGTCTGTCTGTCTGTCTGTCTGTCTGTCTGTCTGTCTGTCTGTTTGTCTGTCTGTCTTTCTGCGTGTCGTCTGTCTCTGTCTGTCTGTCTGTCTGTTTCGTCCGTCTGTCTTTCTGCGTGTCGTCTGTCTGTCTGTCTGTCTGTCTGTCTGTCTGTCGGTCTGTCTATTGTAATTTTAAAGTCCCCAGTGAAAACATTTGACTAAACTAAAGAAAAACAAACTAAACTGTCTGTCTGTTGGTCGGTCGGCCGTCCGCATGCCAGCCTGCTTTAATAACGGTCTGTGCTGCAGCACCATGTCCTCGGGGCTCAACACCCTGGCCGGCACGCTGTACGAGGACTTCCTGGTCCGCATCCTCGCCAGGTCGGGGCGCACCCCGAGCGATCAGCAGGCCTCGCTCATCGTCAAGGTAGGCACTACACCGGAAAACGGAGCGATCCCGAACGTCCCAGGAATGGACTCATAGTGGGGGCGGCGGTGAAAATCCCGTAAGGGGTTTGAGCCCCAGATTCGCCAAAGACTAGAGCGAGCGCCGAGACTAGAAGCGAACGTGTGACCCCACCAATGGATTGCTCTCCGAACGAGGAATCCATTGGTCGGGTCACACGTTCGGTTTGAGTCCTGTTTGGCAACTCTGGAGCTCTAGAGATTTTGCCGCCTGCGCCGGTCTTCTGGACCACTGTGAGATTGCGCCTTGCCTCACGTGTTCTAGGGCGCCAAAGTCCCTGGGCACCAAGTACTGCCCACTGTCTCTGTAGGTTGAGGGTTCAACCACCGCTAAAGATGAAAATTATTTTTATTCCTCCCGTCTCGTCATTTTCCAGGGCCTCGCGCTGCTGGTGGGCGTGATATGCATGGTGCTCATGTTCGTGGTGGAGAAGATGGGCAGCGTGCTGCAGATCACCTACACGCTGAGCGGCATCACGGGCGGCGCGCAGCTTGGCCTGTTCCTCCTGGGGCTCTTCGTGCCGTGGGCCAACGCCATGGTGAGCATCAATGCACACAAAACTACAAGTGTACCAGTCCTTCTGGGAGCGCCTGCGAGGTAGGCCGCCGCATCGCTCCGCTGTGTAACGGGACGGGCTGCCCTCCCGGCGCTCCGCGTGGTCGACCTGCGTGCGACGATACCACAGAAACTCTAGACGCGTTTTGAGCTCCAGAGTTGCTAAACAGGACTCGAAACGAACGTGTGACCCCACCAATGGATTCCCCGTTCGAAGAGCAATCCATTGGTGGGGTCACACGTTCGGTTCGAGTCCCATTTAGCGACTCTGGAGCTCAAAACCCGTCCGGGATTTCGACCGCCTCCACTGGTCTTCTGGCCCACTGTGGATACCCCGCCCCGTTTGGCGGCCCGGCCGGCGATACTCCACGCGCGGAGTGAGTGTCATCTTGACGCCCTGCTTGCGGTCCTTCAGGGCGCGATGGCGGGCGGGCTGTCCGGCCTGCTGCTCATGGCCTGGGTGGTGGTGGGCTCCCAGGTGGCCCTGGCCACCAAGCAGCTCGTGTACCCCTGGCTGCCCACACGGGTGGACGGCTGCGCCAACAACGTCACCGACATCCTGCACGACAAGGACATGACCTGGACGTGAGTACGCCACGCCTGCCACTCCAGCTCCTGAAATCCAGATGCACCTTAAAAGTGTATAGTCAAGATTGCCTTTATCATAACATACCATTGAGAATTCACTGTACCTCGTAGATATTTTGACGAATTTCGTTTGTCATATGGACAAAATCTTCACCATAATAAAGTTGTGCAGTGCACACATTCAACATCTTATGATCGTTTTTATACGTATTACGATGGTTTTTATCGTAAGGAACGCATAAATTTGCACATACGTAATATGCTTAATTTTTCACCGTATTACGCATGAATTTCATCGTATTACGCATGAATTTTACTGTAGTACGTATGTTCTTATTTCAACGTATGTTACGATGGCCCTTTCACCATAAGAATCTGAGGGTGCAGCCATCCGCCATAAGACATTTAGAGTGTGGGCGGTGGGCGGTCGTTGCAGGAACTCGATCCTGGTGAACGCCACCAACCCGGCGGACACCTTCCTGCTCTACCGGCTGTCGTACTACTACTACACCTTGATCGGCGCGCTCATCGTGGTGGTGGTGGGCTTCGTCGTCAGCGTCCTCACCGGCCCCCAGGACCCCAAGACCATGAACAGGGACCTCCTGTCGCCGGCCATCCACGGCTTCCTCCCCGAGCCCTGCAAGCAGCCGGAGCACATCAAGATGGCCCCGCGGCCCTAGGGACCTCCCGGACGCCGGACCCTCTGCGGGATCTTTCCGGTTCTCGGGCGGGCACGGCACTGGCCGAAGCAACACGCACGTTCGCCGCGCTCCGCCCAGCGCCGCCTCCGCCAAGCACAGTGGGCCAGAAGGCCGGCGCCGGCGGCCAACACTCCGGACGCGTTTTGAGCTCCATAGTCGCTAAATGGGACTTGAACCGAACGTGTGACCCCACCAATGGATTCCTCGTTCGGAGAGCAGTCCGTTGGTGGGGTCACACGCTCGGTTCGAGCTAGGGACTCTGGAGGTCAAAACCCGTCCGGGATTTCGACCGCCTCCACCGGTCTTCTCGCCCACTGTAACACGGACACCACACGGGCAGTGCTTACTTTAGATAATAAGGAGACGTGTTATGAAACTGAGTTGTTGTTATTAGTAAACAAACGTACCGATTCATGTACCAAAAAAAAAGAAGGGCGGAAAAAAGACAATTTCTGTAAATATATGTTACTGTTTCTTTTTCATACGAAACTGCAGTTTTTATTCGCACCCGCTATAACTGGTTATTTCCGCGGGACCAAGGTGGCGTGTCGCCGCGCCGCCGCAGTAGATAAGCCGTCGGGCAATGCGTCGACGGCGTGCTCCTAGCGACAGTCTGAGGCGGAGCCAGGCAGGGACAGGCAGACACGCGGCCTGCCTGATAGCGTGCTCGTGGGGGGCGGCGACGGAGCGCTTCTTGTCCGAGGCTGCTTTCGGCGGCTTATTTGATTAGAGCGATAGGGACGTCACCGTCCGGGCCGCGCCAGGACCGCCTCGCCGCGGGGCGGTCGCGGGGCGGTGGCCCCTGTGGGCCTAGTGGGCCCTAGCCCGGCCCTGGCCCGCGCACAGCCAGTCGGGGAGCTTCCAGCGAGCAGAGGTGAGTGAGAGAGAGAGAGAGAGAGAGGGGGGGGGGGGGGGGGAGGGAGACGGGGCGGGGGTGGCTTCGGCGGGTAGGTGTTGCGCGGGCCTCTCTGGCGAGCGATCCCGGAGGGCCGCCTGTCTCTGTCGCACTCATGGGGCGCTCCGTGCGGGTGCGAGAGAGACAGAGTCGCCTCTTCGGGAATCGGCCGGCCGGTCTGCCTTGTAAACTCTCCCCGCGCCGCGAGCTTCGCCTTGCTTCGCCTTGCTTCGCCTTGCTTTGCTTGCGACGCACTCCCGCTAAGTGAGGCGCGCCTTTCCCGGCGCGGTCCTGGACGCGCGCCAGGCTGGACCGAGGCACAACGAACAACCCGCGACTTTGTTTACTCCTACACTGGCAGCGACGCGCGCGGGTGTGGACGCGGACGGGGTTCGACTCCCGGCGGACCCCGCCGACGGCTCCGCAACGGCCGGCATTTTTCTCCTCCCTCCGTCTCGGGATTGGACTTCCCTGGTCGGCATCTGTCTGCGTCCGCGAGTATGAGAATGACCGCGGCACGCGCGGAACAGCCAGCGCGTGTCGGCCGCCTTCGCAGTGGACTGGCTGGCTCCTTGTTGACAGTCTGAGGTCGAGCGTCCGAGCCCCCGCGGCCCCCGGCAGCCAGCTGACCGATAAGCACATAAGGTGTGGCCTAGTCTCTCTCTCTCTCTCTCTCTCTCTCTCTCTCTCTCTCTCTCTCTCTCTCTCTCTCTCTCTCTCTCTCTCCGCGATGCTCTCGGAGCAGTGGGCCATTCATAAGGCATGACGCGGGCGGGATCGCTCCGAGGGTGAATAAGGAAAGAGGCTCGAGCCGAGGCTATCGCGGGTGGCGCAGCATTCACTCCCCCTCCCCTTCCCCCTCCCCTTCCCCCTCCCCTCCCCCCTCCCCTTCCTCGGCGCCTCCGCGTGTGGCAATTTGCCGGCGACACCAGCAAGACGAGGACGTTGACGGAGGTGAGCAGCGGCGGAGCCTTCCATACCATCACACTGAGTGCTCGGGGTGGTGGAGTCCCACTACCTCCTCTGTCCCTCCCCCCTCCCTCCTCTCACTCTCCCTCCCTCCGCGCCACCGTTGCGTCGTGAGCAACCGCGGTTAAACGGTTAAACTTGATTCTTCGACGCTGTCATCCGCGTATGACGGTGACACTGTTCGTCGGCGAATGACGTCATGATTGATGTGGATTCGTTCGTTTTATTGGCATAGCCAGGCGAGGGCCGACAGCTTTGATGCTGAGTGCGCTTGGCCTGGCCTGTACCTACCCCAGCATATAGCTTATCCTACGAAGCTTGGACGACACAGCTGAGTCCATGTCTATAATATCTTCAACCAAAAATAATGACAGGAAGATACCTTCTCTAGTGTTCCTGAGGGAGATGGGCGGTGAACCCATCTCCAGGGATTCCCAGGACTATCGGGAGATAGATTTTTCTTGGGTTTTGTATTTGTATTTGTATTGGTTGAAGGAGGTGGGCGTTTTGCACGTTTCAAATTACCGTTAAGGGTGCTGTCTTTGGTCAGCAAATATTATGTCACATCATATCGGAGAAAAAAAACGAATGTTGCCCGGATTACACTCTCAGCAGGTTACTGACTTTTTGCTTATTTTGTCAGTACTTATGCAAGTAATTTGTGCAACCATAATGCGACGTACTTTTCCTTTTTTAAAGAACTACTTAGGAAATATTAAATAATGTACTTACAATTTGGTTTTGTACATAGTTTTACTTACGAAATTAGTCACTTCGACTTCGTATTATTGTTGCTTATATGAATACGCAATTAATGAGGAAAAAGTCAGTAACGTGCTGAGAGTGTACGATTGAACGAATGTTTTGCCACATTCGCTGTAAAGCCGTCTGACTTCCGAGTCATTGCTCGAATTTGCCGACCGCGGCGAGCCTGCCAAAAGAGAGAGAGGCGGTTGTGTTTGCGAGTGATAAGCCACTTCGCTTTAGATAGCGCGACACGTGTCGCCCACACGAGAAGGAGAAGAGGTCCGGAAATAGCAATGACGAGCCGTCCGAGATGAGAAAAGTGACCCGCTCCAGAATGTCCAAGATTTGTTTGTATTTTTTTAAATATGTGTCCCGTTGCTTTCCGTATCTCCCTCCTCTAGCTTTCCTCCGATTCCTCCTAGTTTGGGCTTTGCAAAGAAAACCTAGCGTTTTATAACAAAGTATTTAGAGCCTACATAAGCTTGTTTCGTTTTTTTAAAACTAATGTTCTTCGTATAACAAACTAAATAGTTTTTATCTTACATACTCAAAGAACTGGGAAAGGTATTATTTCACCCCTTCCGCTAGTTCCAGATGTCGCCGCTGGACTGGGGGGGTGGGCTGGCCCCCCCCAGGGGGCTTCCCCGGGCTCGGCCCCCCCCCCCCGGGGGGGTTGGGGGCCCCCCCCCCCCCCCTTTGGGGGCGTGGTGGCGGCCCCCAAGGGTGGGGTTTGCCCCCTCGCCCCCCCCGCCCCCGGACCCCCGGACGAAAAAGGTTTTCGCCCCCCCAAAGGGCCCGCCCCAAGAATGGGGGACAGGGGGGGCTTCGCCTGCTGGCCCTTTGGGGGCCCAAAGGGGTGTTGCCGGGCCCCGTTTTCCCAAGGCCCCACGTCGCGGAAAAGGGTTTTTGCCCCCCAAAAAGGCCCCCTAAAAGGCGGAAGGGGCAAAACCCCAAACCAAAACCCGCCTTCAGGGACGTCCCGGGCGGACGCTTTCCCGGCCCCGCCCTTTTCCCCTAAAGGCCCCGGGGAAAAAGGGATTTTTTTGCCGGGAAAGGGAAGGCCGTGAGGGGGAAAGGGGCGAACCCCCCGGGGCCCTTCCCCAAATTCCCCGGGGGAACCCCAATTGTGTCCCCTTTCCCGGTCGCCTTTTGGGCCCTCATTTTTTATTTTAAACCCATAAAAGTAGGAAAAGGGGACGGGTTCGGGGACCCCCTTGGGTTTAAAATGCCCCGGGAAAAATTTTCCCTTGGGGGCCCTTTCAAGCTTCTTGGGAAATTTTTTTTTTGCCCCCATCCCTGGATGTTTAAAGAGGTGTGACATTTTTTAAAATAAGGAAAAATTAAATGTTTCTAAGTTTTCAAAATTTTTTTTTTGGACATGAGGGATGATCAGATGAATAAAATTGATGATCATAAAAAAAGATGATGATCATAAAATGTTTATGATGATATGATATGATCATGATGATGATCATGATGATGATGATCATCATGATGATGATCATGATGATGATGATCACGATGTGAATCCTTTCCAGCAACCTCTCCGGCATCACGCTGCTGGGCTACCCCGCCGAGGTGTACCGCTACGGCACCCAGTTCTGGATGGTGGCCCTGGGGTCCGTGATCGCCACGGCCGTGCTCTGCGTCACGTTCCTGCCCGTGCTGCACGCCCTCAAGCTGGGCTCCACCTACGAAGTAAGCTCAAGGTGAAGGCAGCTTGTGTTGCAGCACTGTAGAAAATTAATAGGAAAATCCCAGAAAGTGCGTTCGGAAGGTCCTTCTAAAATAGCTTCGTGTCTAAAAAAAAATATGTATTTTTTGTCCTAAATCTGTGGGAAACTCATAACACAGAAACATCCGAGGTTTTGGAAGCAATTTTTCTGGTAACGAACTCTCCGGGACTTTCCAATATTTTTCTAAAACAGTGAATCGCTAGTCCGCACTAAAGTGAACACACCTCCTGTAAAACGACCTGAGCTTGTCTGTGTGTGCAGTACCTGGAACTGAGATTCGACACCCGGTTGCGCAAGTTGACTTCCGTCATGTACACCATTCGGCTGGTAAGTTGCAGAAACGGCACCGTTCCACATTTCATATTTGTGCCGTCACTTTAACAGTCCAATTAGGCTACACCATATTCACACGAAGTATGTCATCGTTTACCCATGCTTGCCGACTCTCTTCCAACAGCTGCTGCTGCTGCCGTTGGTCATCTACGTGCCCGCCCTCGCCTTCACTCAAGGTGCGGTACAGACCTTATGTCAGCCCCCCCCCCCCCTTTTTCACCCCGGGACACACTGGAAGAAAAGAGTAAAGAGAAATTCAGAAAAGGCCTAGTCAACAATTTGCGTATACCTATCAACTACATGCAAATTCAGTACTTTTTTTCGTACCCGTTTACACGAGTTCATATGGAACACGGACGTATTTCCGTACTTCCTTCCTGTACTCTTCTGTACATTTTCCGTGCAAAATAAGGGATTTAAAGGAAAGACAGTGTACTGCAGGTTTGTGACCGTGTCCACAGTGACGGGGATCAGCATCCACGTGGTGGCCCCTGCCATCAGCGCCCTCTGCGTGCTCTACACCACGGCGGTGAGTCCTTGGACTGTCCACAGGGCCGGCAGCAACAGCGATGCGCTAGAGTCGTTGCCAACACAAAAAATGTCTTTTTTTTACAAATTTTGTACGAGACGCCGCAGTGTTTTGTGCACGCGAACTTTTCGTACACATTTGTACGCTTTTTTGCACAAAAATGGGGAAATATGTGTAGTTTTTCGCTAAAAAAAAACTGTGATGTCCCGTACAAAAGTGCACATAAAATTTAGTGTCAACGACCGGGAATATCTGGGCTTCGTTGTCGAACAATTGCCCGGTGGCCAACCCCCTTTGACACTGGTGCGCCGTGGCAGCTCAGCAGGTGGGCCGCCTTGGCGTACGATCATGTGTGGCCTAGCCTCTAATGGTAATGGGCCGCCTGGCAGGGAGGCGACCCCCTTGCACTCCTGCGTGGCGAGTCCGCCTACATCGCAGGCGCTCTGCAGGCCGACCACACCGAGAGAAACCATGAATTAATTCGGACACACGGATTCCCTTTTACCATTTGTCGATGGAAGCATCATCCCTCATGGTGAATTGGTTTCCAGGGAACGCCGAACTGATTGCTTGCGTCATTGTGCCACGGGCAGGTCCACAGGACTCTAGGCAGATCCAGAGTTTGGCCGAGGGGAATGGGGAAGCAGCACTCTTTTGCTTCCTTAATAGTGGCAGAGCGGGGTTCTGTGCTGCCTTCCCAATGGCTATCTAGTGTCCAAGGGTGGTCAATTCTCTCTCTCTCTCTCTCTCTCTCTCTCTCTCTCTCTCTCTCTCTCTCTCTCTCTCTCTCTCCCACTCCATCCCTTGGTGGGTGCTTTCCGGTCCGCGAGGTACCCGTGCAGCGCAGCGCGAGTGGGGTGTGCGGGCGCACTGATTCTGGCGAGTCTCGCTCTGTCTCTCTCGCACCGCCACGTCCCTTCCCATGAGTGCGACAGAGAGCGACAACGCTCCGGAATGGCACCGCAGCGGTGCGGGCGGTGCCACGAGAACCCCGCCAAAGCTGTGAACGGGGCGGACGGGCGAAGCGCGAAGCGGGTGAAGCCGAACCGGTTGAGTGATCACAAAGCCGTTCATTGGGGGGGAGGGGGGATCTCTCGCGCAGCAGCGCAGCCAGCGGGCACGGCAAAGGAATAGCAAAGTCAGGTCCTGTGGACAGAATTACAATAATCTGCCTGCGGGCTTTGCCGCCGGCCGGGCCGTGGGCCCAGCATAGCGGGCCCAGCATAGCGGGCCCAGCATAGCGGGCCCAGCATAGCGGGCCCAGCAGTGGCGTGGCCACGCTGGCCGGATCAGAGGGAGGCTGTTTGCGCCGCGACCAAGGCGGCGGCAGCGGCGCCTGCAGACTCACTCCGAGCGTCGTCGCTCTGTCTCTCTCGCACTCACGGGGAACGCCCGGGAACGCCCCATGAGTGCGAAAGAGACAGAGCGGTGAAAACGACTTTAGGAATGAGTCTGCTACCGAGCGCCAGGTGCCTCTCCCCTCCCCTCCCCCTCGCCTCCCCCTCCTCCTCCCCCTGCCCTCCCTTCCCCTCCCTTCACCCGCCCCCTTCACCCTCCCCTTGGTCCTCTTCCTCCTTTCCCCCTCCCCTCCCCTTCCCCCTCGCCACCCCCCGCTCACGCTGCCACGCCCACGCACGTGTTACACGGCCAGCTACCGCCAGCAATTCGGCGATTAGTCGTAGGCGCCATTTGGGTGGACCATCGTTCTTCCCGACGTCAGAGCCAGGGCGGGAAGAAAAGCCAATGATGGCGTCCCCGTGGCCGAGGGCGTAGAGACACCGATCTCGCAATCTAGGGACTGGTGTTCGACTCCTGAGCAGCACGAAAAGAAAAAGATTGGTTCGCGTTCCCTATGGTTTTAAATAACATTGTTGTTGATATATCTTAAAATTGGGTGCGTCTTAGAACGTCTTAGAAACCAAGTCGTACTTAATTACGGCAACTTATATCGATGAACTTTTGTTATGGAACCGCGTCGAACTAACGAGAAGGCTGTCTGCGACTCGTTTTTTTCTCGCCTCTCTGCTGAACATCCCGCAGTCCCCTTCTCCGAAGACTCTCCGAGCCAAAACTTGCTTTTTTGCAGGGCGGCCTCCGCGCCGTGGCGCTGACGGGGTCCTTGCAGCTGATGGTGATGCTGGCCGCCACCGTGGCCCTGCTCGCCGCCGGCATCCACGACGTGGGCGGCTTTGGCGTCGTGTGGCGTCGCATGGAGGCGTCGGGGCGCGTCGAGTTTTTTAAGTGAGTGGACAGGCAGTAAAACAGAATTGAAGCTCGAAGGGGCAACCACTTTCGATGTCTGGGTACATTAGATTTGTGAAGTGGATGAGATTTTGTCGGGATACTGTAAATGAGGCCAGGTAGAACTTCTATGAGGCCTGGGACAACTTCTATGGGGCCTCTATGAGGTCTGGTAGAACTTCTATGGGACCTCGAGTTACCGAGGAGTTTCTGAGTTATGGAGGTTTACGTAAACTTTTAGCTCAGCAGCGAAGCCGAAGGGTGGCTAGTACCCGCACAAATGAATACCTCAATGACAAGTTTCGCCAATTATTTAATTTTTTTGCCTTGTTAGGGGAAGATTTCGGATTTCAAGGGATTTTAGGCGCTCAAGTAAGTGGACACCTCGCTAGTGGTCACCCCCTCGTTAAAACTGCAACCCACATCCCTCTTACGGTGCCATGCGCGGAAGAAAATAATTTTAAATGAGAAGGTTTTAATTTAAGAGTGCAGCGTTACGCGTCCCTTTGCAGCATGGACCCCAACCCGCTGACCCGCACCACCTTCTGGTCGGCCACGCTCGGGGGCACCTTCTTCTGGCTGCAGATGCTGGCCGTGCAGCCCAACTCGGTGCAGCGCTACCTCGCCGTGCCCACGCTCGCCGCGGCCAGGAGGTCAGTCCGTCTCACTCGCACTCCTTGTCGTTGCACAGTGGGCCAGAAGACCGGAGGAGGCGGCCAAAACTCTAGACGCGTTTTGAGCCCCAGAGGCGCTGAGTGGGACTCGAACCGAACGTGTGCCGACGTGACACAATCGAGAACAATCCGCATTCTCGCGATGGCGTCACAATGGTTGAACAGTGTGAATGCGGTGCTGCGGCGCCAGCCCCGCTCTCCCATGTCTTGTCGTTGTCACCTGCACCGACATGCACTGCAGGACGGCGGGCCTCCAGTGCGGCGGGCTTGTCCTCACCACGACGCTGGCCTGCTTCCTCGGCGCCGTGGTCTTCGCCAAGTACGACGGCTGCGACCCGCTCGTCACCAAGGTACTGTCGCGTCCGCGTGCACTGTGGGCCAGAAGACCGGCCCCAGCGGCCCAAACATTTAGACGCGCTTTGAACTCCAGAGTCGCAAAGCAGGACTCGAACGGAACGCGTGACCCCACCAATAGATTCCTCGTTCGGAAAGCTATCCATTGGTGGGGTCACACGTTCGGTTCGAGTCCTGCTTAGCGACTCTGGAGCTCAAAACGCGTCTGGAGTTTCGACTGCCTCCACCGGCCTTCTGGCCCACTGTGGGGGAATGCAAGCCCCTCCAAGGTGGCCCCCAAGTCGGACTCGCGTCGTCGGGGTGGTCCGGGTGGCGGAGCGCTGCAAGCCGCACTCCGCCCGCGCCCCGCTGCGCAGCCTGCCTGCCAGACCAGCAGGCCTGTATAAATAATTACCCAGAGCATCCGTCTGGGGATCATTAGAGACGAGAGAGCAACGCCGAACCGCAGCACGGCCCGTTCAGCCCCTCTCTCTCCCACCACGCCGGCCCGCGCACCGCGAGCGAGAGAGACGCCAGACAGGGCGGGACCGGGGCCTCCAGCCGCCCCTGGGCCTTTACACCCAACATCTTCACCTCCGAGTTCTCAAGTTAGGAAGCCAGCTGGACCAATATGGCTCTAAAGAATTTTCACCATTGCATTGAAAAATCTACACTATAAGACTTTGAAACTGTATCAAAAAAATTTGTTTCAGAAAAAAAAGCATGTTTGTTTCTGTTTTTTCGAAATTGATAACGTATTCTGTGCGTTCACACAAAACCCAAGGATGGTAAAATTTCCACAATCGAGGGCGGTATTTGTTTTACCGCCTTTCCAAGTGAGGTATTCATTTTACCGCCCATTGAAGGCGGTAAATTACCACCTTCCACAGTTTTATCGCCTTGAATGTTCCGTTTGCAGGGAAATTTAAGGCGGTACAGCGGTGAAAGGTGGTAATTTTACCACCTTCAATGGGCGGTAATTTTTGTACCACACTTGGAAGGCGGTAAAACGAATACCGCCTTCGTAACACCATGTGTACCGCCTTTCGAATTTGGGTGTTGTCTCACTGGCAAGCTAGCGCCCCTTTAAGAGATACGGGCCTGCAACGCCACGGGCCACTGCGCTTTGCGGCGCTTTGCGGGCAACGCCGGGCAAGGCGAATAAAGAGAACCGCCAGACGCCCTCTCGACGGCGGATAACGAAAACCAGCAGACCGCGTTTTGATTTGAATTTCAGCGGGGCCCGTAAAGTGGGCGAATTGCTCTCTGCTTAATATCTGATGCACCAGCCGAGCCGGTCTTGGCTCCTTCCAGCGGGCACGAGGCCCAGTTAGTGGGGAAGCGCGGAGCCGTTTTCTCGGAAGTACAAATTTGTGACTGCTAGGAAAAATGCAGCAAAACTTGAATTATACTCCTGGCAAACTCTTCCTTCGATTTCTTTGATTGCATGTACTTCCAAGGAGTCTATATCATTTCTCCTACCTAAATGTTCGCCTACCTGTCTATTTCGCCTACCTATATTTCGCCTACCTAATAAAAATATTGAATAAAAATATTCAATAAAATATTGCCATTTTTCGCCTACCTATAGTTCGCCTACCTAATAAAAAAAAATGAAATAAAAATATTCAACAAAAAAACGAAAAAATCGGCGGCAAAAAGTGGCAATACGAAAGTCTCAAGGAGACCCGCCGATCAGCTTCGGTGTTCTTATGGGAACCGGGCCTTCATCCGACGCTCCCTGCCGCGCAATTCGACAGATTAGTGGGTTCGTATTAGGCTGGCCCACCCGAAGTGCGCGCGGTTTCTGTGGTACAGTGAGAGTCCAGATTCAGAGGCCTTACCTCAGAGGGGTCACATTGGGTATTTGAACCCGCGACCCCGAGTGCCGACTCTAGTCAACTCCTCTACCCTGACCGCTCAGCCACCGAACCAGCTTGTCGGCGGCGATGTCGCAACTCCTCTTGAGCTGCCATTCGAGAAATCTGGTCCCGAAAAAATGGTACTTTGAGCGGTCTCGAACCCGGGACCTGCTGCTTCCCACATCATGCTCTTAAGCACTGAGCCACCGGGACGCCATGGCACCCGCCCTGCCTGCGCTGGTACTCAATCTTCTCTGGATATACCTCCCCAAGCAATTGGTCGCCGAAAAAATTGTGTATACTACCGGTCCCGAACCCGGGACCTGCCGCTTCCCACAACGTGCTCTTAACCACTGAGCCACCGGGGCGCCACAACACCCGCATTGCCAGCGCCGGTACCCAATCTTCTCTGGATATACCTCCCCAAACAATTGGTGGCCGAAAAAATTGTGTATACTACCGGTCCCGAACCCGGGACCTGCCGCTTCCCACAACGTGCTCTTAACCACTGAGCTACCGGCGAATCATGGTAACCGCACTGCCAGCGCTGGTACTCAATCCTCTCCGGATAGACCTCGTCAAGAAGTCGGTTGCCTCTGCCGAAAAATATGCTCATGGTACTAGTCTCGAACCCGAGACCTGCCAGTCAGGAACGCAGCACTCTAACCACTGCGCTATTAGGTGGCTACGCACAGCGCTCACCCCATCGCCGAAGTTATTATTTGTCCAGCATCAAGCAAGATGGGTGGCTATTGAAGTTTGGCGCTAGGTAAGTGGCGTGCATAGCAACCTGGGGTACCATGATCCTCCGGTAGCTCAGTGGTTAAGAGCACGTTGTGGGAAGCGGCAGGTCCCGGGTCCGGGACCGGTATTTTACACAATTTTTTCGGCGACCAATTGCTTGGGGAGGTATATCCAGAGAAGATTGAGTACCAGCGCAGGCGAAGCGGGTGCCATGGCGTCCCGGTGGCTCAGTGGTTAAGAGCACGATGTGGGAAGCGGCAGGTCCCGGGTTCGGGACCGGTAGTATGTACAATTTTTTCGGCCACCAATTGCTTGGGGAGGTATATCCAGAGAAGATTGGGTACCGGCGCTGGCAGGGCGGGTGCCATGGCGTCCCGGTGGCTCAGTGGTTAAGAGCACGTTGTGGGAAGCGGCAGGTCCCGGGTTCGGGACCGGTAGTATACACAATTTTTTCGGCCACCAATTGCTTGGGGAGGTATATCCAGAGAAGATTGGGTACCGGCGCTGGCAAGGCGGGTGTTGTGGCGCCCCGGTGGCTCAGTGGTTAAGAGCACGTTGTGGGAAGCGGCAGGTCCCGGGTTCGGGACCGGTAGTATACACAATTTTTTCGGCGACCAATTGCTTGGGGAGGTATATCCAGAGAAGATTGAGTACCAGCGCAGGCAGGGCGGGTGCCATGGCGTCCCGGTGGCTCAGTGCTTAAGAGCATGATGTGGGAAGCAGCAGGTCCCGGGTTCGAGACCGCTCAAAGTACCATTTTTTCGGGACCAGATTTCTCGAACGGCAGCTCAAGAGGAGTTGCGACATCGCCGCCGACAAGCTGGTTCGGTGGCTGAGCGGTCAGGGTAGAGGAGTTGACTAGAGTCGGCACTCGGGGTCGCGGGTTCAAATACCCAATGTGACCCCTCTGAGGTAAGGCCTCTGAATCTGGACTCTCACTGTACCACAGAAACCGCGCGCACTTCGGGTGGGCCAGCCTAATACGAACCCACTAATCTGTCGAATTGCGCGGCAGGGAGCGTCGGATGAAGGCCCGGTTCCCATAAGAACACCGAAGCTGATCGGCGGGTCTCCTTGAGACTTTCGTATTGCCACTTTTTGCCGCCGATTTTTTCGTTTTTTTTGTTGAATATTTTTATTTAATTTTTTTATTAGGTAGGCGAACTATAGGTAGGCGAAAAATGGCAATATTTTATTGAATATTTTTATTCAATATTTTTATTAGGTAGGCGAAATATAGGTAGGCGAAATAGACAGGTAGGCGAACATTTAGGTAGGAGAAATGAACAACTCCCCTTCCAAGTACTGCTTTGAAAAATCTGTCCCAAATTTTTTAGTTACGCACTAGTCTATTGCATTATTGCCCCATAAACACGAAACACTCACAAAGCAGTCAAAGAAAGTCAAAATGACGCCAGAGTGATGCTATTTTTGTCGAAATTTCGACTAAAACGTGTCATATTGACATCAAAATGACGTCACCGTGATCGTTTTCGTGTTCTTTGGATGGGCTTGTGTACGACACGGCAAAAGTAATACCTGGAATTCCCAGCCCAGGCCTCCTGGAAAAAATGGGTCTTTTTTCCAGGAGGCGCCTTGGAATCCCACGTCTTGCTGTTGCGAGGCTGTTGCTGTGGAAGTATTAAAGGAGTCAGCCCCCTTGCCAGGGCCTTGGCGCTTGAATAGCCGGCCCTTGGGTTCCAGGAGGTGCAGCGGCCGGACCAGCTGGTGGCCTTGATGGTGGAGCAGACGAGCAGCAGGGTGCCCGGGCTGGCGGGCCTGTTCCTGGCCGGCCTCTTCAGCGCGGCCATGGGGTAAGTCGGACACCGCACTGCCAAAGGTATTAATTGGATAGTCCCGGAAGTGTGGCACAGAAGCGGGAGCATGCACAGTGGGCCAGAAGACCGGAGGGTGCGTCCAAAATTCTAGACGCGTTTTGAGCTCCAAAGTCGCTAAATGGGACTGAAACCGAGTGTGTGACCCCACTTATGGATTGCTCTTCGAACGAGGAATCGATTGGCAGGGTCACACGTTCGGTTCGAGTCTCATTCAGTGAGTCTGGAGCTAAAAACGCGTCTAGAGTTTTGTCCGCCTCCACCGGTCTTCTGACGTACTGTGGCATGGTTGGGTTCGGTCATGTTAGGTGAGGTTGCTGACGGCTTGACTCCCTCCCGCAGCAACCTCTCCGCGGCGCTCAACACGCTGTCCGGCACGCTGTACGCCGACCTGGTGTCGGGCTGGCTGCCGGCCGCCTGGAGGGCCAAGTCCGGCGTCGTCATCAAGGCCCTCGGCGTCGTCATCGGCGTCTGGGCCACGCTGCTCGTGTTCGTCGTGGAACGCATCGGCGGTCTGGTGCAGGTACGCTGGAAGTGAACCACAACCACCACCGCCCACAACAAAAACACCACCACCACCACCCACAACAAAATCAACCCCCCCCCCCACTACCACCACCACCACCACCACCACCACCTCTACCACCGCCACCACCTCCACCTCTACAGGGGCGTTGTGGCTCAGGGACCCACTGCTGATTGTTTGGCGAGACTTTTCATAAGATGATGACGATGATGTGCAGGTGGCGATGAGTCTGGGCAGCGTGACCAGCGGCACCATGCTAGGGCTCTTCACCCTGGGCATGCTGGTCCCCAGGGCCAACGCGCTGGTGAGTGGAGCCAGCAGCCTCCTCCCGTCATTCAAACACTCGCGATGAATATTTAAACAATTACGCGTTCCTTGGCCGGCAGGGCGCGCTGGCGGGCGCGGGCGTCAGCGTCCTGGGCACGGCGCTGGTGGTGTTTGGCCAGCAGTCGGCCATCGCCGCGGGCATGCTCAAGTGGCCCGCCAAGCCGACCAGTGCGGACCAGTGCGGAGGGTGAGTGCGTCCGGCGTCCTCCCTGGACGGAGAGGCGTGGATTTTGGCGGCGCACAGTGGGCCAGAAGACCGGCGCAGGCGGCCAAAGCTCTAGACGCGTTTTGAGCCCCAGAAGGGCTAAACAGGGCTTGAACCAAACGTGTGACCCCACCAATGGATTCCTCGTTCGGAGAGCTATTTATTGGTGGGATCACACGTTCGGGTCGAGTTCTATTTAGCGAGTTCAAAACGCGTCTGGGGTTTTCACCGCCGGTCTCCTGGCCCACTGGGTGGAGGCCCGCAAGGCGCGGATTCAGGCGGGAGGAACGGGGTTCATTCGAGGGTTTCCAATCAGCCTGCCTGCTTGGCAATGTCTGGGTTTCGCTCCCGCCTAGAACTTGCCTGCCCATCAGGCAGGCTGAGGTTGGCAACCCTCTCGACCCTCAGGCACGCTGAGGTTGGCAACCCTCCCGACACTCTGACACCCACTCATGTGGCATCACTCTGCAGGCCCCCCGGACTGCTGGCCGAGCCCGCGCCCGCCGAGGTGTTCTTCGTGCTGCGGCTGTCGTACTTGTGGCTGGTGCTGCTGGGCACGGCGCTCACCGTGCTGGTGGGCACCGTCGTGTCCCTGCTCACGGCCCGCCAGCCCGGCCAGCCCGGCCACCGCGACGTCGACCCCGCTCTCCTCTTCCAGTGGCGACGGCCTGGGCCGCGCGCGCGGCAGCAGCAGCACGAGCTCAACCCGATGGTGGCGGAGAAGACCTGAAGAAGCCAGAGGCGGCTGGAGGAACGGCAACGCCGGCAACGGACATCTTGGAAATTCCAGGACAACTTCTTGCCTCCGACCTTCGGAAAATTCCGAAACCTCTCTTGTTTCTATTTAGAATGAGTTTCCTGCTGGTATACTAGTACAAAAATGACTTTTTGAAACACGAAGCCTTTGGGAAAAGCTTTGGAACGCACAAGAACGCACTTTCGGGATTTAAATCGTTTATTTTTAACAGTGTAGGCACGTTTTCTCACTGTTTTCTCATCAGCACTGTAAATTTAATTGAACTCACACATAAACTAGCATAAAATGTAAATATTTATCGAATGCGTAATGGAGCGGACCAAATAAACTGTGTTAACTTCTACGGACTGTGATGAAGCCACCATGTTCCTTTTCTTAAAATAAAAATAAAGTAAATGGAGACACCGTAAGGTAGTGAAAAATTTATTTACACGTGTTGCACTTTACAGGAAAATGAATATCACAGATCTTTTATTTTTTTTTAATCCGCTGCCTGTTTTTGGTATTTTCATACCAGTGAGCCGCAAGACACACCGATTTTTTTCCTGCCCGTCCCAGCAGTCACGCCGATCTGCCTGCAGACCTGCTGACTTGAAGGCGCGGCGCGCGACACAAAACTCGTTCGTCTTACGAGTGGAATTTCCAGACGCCGCCGGGGTCGCGCCGTCGCTCGACGCAGACACGCTGAATTTTCGTTCTCAGTGTCGGCCTCCTCCTCCTTCTCCCCCCCCCTCCTCCGACCTGCTCCTACATGACACGGGCTGCCATGGTGGAGAGTGGCAGCGCCCCTAATGCACGGGTCGCTATGCAGACGCGTCGCTTCGGTTACCGAGAGGGCTTCGCTTCCAGGGGTCGCTGGCAATATAGCGAAGGGGCGCATGGTTTAGCTGCTGGTGGGCACTCGCAGTGGGCTAGAAGACCGCTGGAGGCGTCCAAAACTCAACATGCGTTTTGAGCTCCAGAGTCGCTAAACAGGACTCAAACCAATTATGTCACGCCACCAATGGATTCCTCCGTTCACTGCAAAGCCAGTGGCAAGTTTACTTGCCACAAATTTGGCAAGCCGTTTTGATTGCCAAAATTTGGCAAGCTTTGGTCGGAAATCTTCATAAGCTTGCCATATTTTGGCAAGCTAGGTGGTATTTTCGGGCCTAGCTTGCCAATTTTTGGCATTCAAAACGGCTTGCCAAATTTGTGGCAAGTAAACTTGCCACTGGCTTTGCAGTGTTCGGGGAGCAATCCATTGGTGGGGTAGGCCTAACACCGTTCGAGTCCCATTCAGAGACTCCGGAGCTCAAAACGTGTCTAGAGTTTTGGCCGACTCCACCGGTATCCTTGCTCACTGTGGGCACGGTCTGGTCGCTGGTGGGCATAGCCTGTGGGCTGATTCCGAGCGGGTCGCCCTGTCAGTCGGGACGGGTGCTAGAGAAGCCCCCCCGCTCGAAATCAGCCAGCAGGTGGCCATGGTCTCGCTGTTGGCGAGAAAGGCGGACACGGCTTGGCCGTCGGCGGGCTACCCGCTGGTGGGCTAGCCGCGCTGGTGGGCTACCCGCTGGTGGTCTTCCCGCTGGTGGACTTCCCGCTGGTGGACTACCAGCTGGTGGGCCACCCGCTGGTGGTCTTCCCGCTGGCGGGCTACCCGATTGTGGTTCATTCGCTGGTGGGACACCCGCTGGTGGGCTACCCGCTGGTGGGCTACCCGCTGCCGGGCTACCCACTGGTGGGCACGGCCTTGTACTCGTCCAGGGGTGTCATGGTGGTGGCCGCGGCCGCAGCGAGCTTGGCGCACTGCCGTCGTTTCGGCAGGAAGTGCGCCACCACCGGGGAGAAGAGGTCGGGGTCGGCGTCCTCCAGCTTGTTGGCGCCAGTGGCGAAGGACACGACTAGCGCCACCACCATGGTGACCGCCATGCCCAGGATGCCGAAGTAAAGGTACGACACCTGGGGGAATACACCAACGACGAATCATTATCATCCATCATAATCATCATAATTATCATCATCACATCATCTCCACATCATCATCATCATCATCATCATCATCAACATCATCATCAATGGGACCCACCTTGAAAAGCGGAAAGACATCCGCGTCCTTGGGGTCCACGAATGGGGCGGCCGTTGGAAACCCACCGTCAAGAGTCGCACTGGACAGCGAATGGTAAAATTAATGTTCAGAAAAAATAAAACAAGAAGCAAATACTTTCGCTGATGCTACGCTGATTTTCTTCGGGACCTACTTTGCGTAGCAGCCGTCCACCCGGGTCGGCAGGGTGGCGTAAACCAGTTCTTTGGAGGCGATGGCGTGCGCGTTGCCGGCGACCGTGAACGTCATGAAGATGAGACTGGTGATGGAGCCGACGATCGCGCCCTGAAGTACACACAACACTGTTAAGCCCGAATCGCTTGCCAAACGCACTGTTTAGCGTGAGCCAAAACGCCAAAACGATTCACGCTTACAACTGTGGGCCACGTTTGTCCACACTTGCTACATGGCTCGCTGTGGTTCAATATCATGGGTCCCCTGCAGCTTTGAGACAAACCGTGCCTACCACTTGGAAGCGTGAGACTTCATTCGCGCTAAACATTGTGCTGAGACTGTCCCGCCCTTGGATTTGCAGTGTGCACCTTTTAATTTGATCTCAACGAAAAATTGAAGGAGGATCTCACCATGCTGTTGGCCCAGGGGAAGAACATGCCCAGGATGAAGAGGCCGAAGGACGCCCCCGCCGTGATGCCCAGGAAGCTGATGGCGATCTGCAGCACGCCGCCCAGGTGCTCCACCACGAAGATCATGGCGATGCTGAAGGCGCCGATCACCAGGGACACCATCTTCATGTGCGTGGAGGCGCGCTCGTCGGACACCTTCATGGGCAGGCACTTCTCGATGAAGTCCGTATACAGCGTCCCGGACAGCGTGTTGAGCACGGCCGACATGGTGCTGCGGCGGAGACGGCGAGTCAGACAGGAGGGCTCATGGATGGGTACCCGCCCGCCCGGGCTGGACCAGGTCTGAATCGGGTACCCGGGTATGCGGTCAAATTCGATGACCCGGGTATCCGGTTCGCGGCCTCCTCAGTGGGTTAGCAGTGTTTCCACTTAGGGGGGCGAAAAGCCTTCCCACGATGCACTGGTCGAAATGGTAGCGAACCTCAGCCTGCCTCTATCAGACGAAATCTCGAAAGCAAAGCCCGGCAGTGCCTAAATGTAACCTTGCAGGCAGGCTGAGGTTGGCAACCCTTTAGACTGAGTGTATCGTGATCATTTTGGACCACTTATGTCGATGCAGTTTACCTGAGTGCCGCGCTGAAGACGCCGGCCACGAAGAGCCCCGACAGCCCCGGCCAGTCCCTGCCCACGTCCATGACGAAGTACGGCACCAGCTGGTCGCCCTTGCGCACCACCTGTACGTCGGGGTGCAGCGGATCGCAGTAGAAGTAGCTGGCGAAGATGATGATGCCCGTGAGCACGCTGAAGAGCTTAGTGAGGAAGTAGCCCACGGCCACCATCATGGACGTGTGCCTGGCGCCCGACTCGGTGGGCACGCTCAGGTAGCGCTGGACGCTCGACGGCGACGTTCCCAGGTTCACGATGAGCATAAAGAAAGCGCCCACCCCCACGTTCCAGAAGGTGCAACGCGCGTAGAGGCTGGGGTCCATGCTGCGGCACAGAGCAACTCCAGGTCAGTACACTCTAGACACTACAAATACAGAGGTAAGACCTTGCCACTCCAGGGGCGAGACAAAAAGTATTATCATCCGAGATTGTTTGATTGGCGGCCGATAGACGGCGCTAGCGCCCCCTGTGACAGTTGTTCGGGCCAGCCGAGCGCAACCGGGGAGGCGAGGGAAAGGGGGACGTCACCCAGCTGCACTAGTGGACGAATGGCAACCCATGATCGCTCCGGCGCCCGCCGACCAGCGCGTAGGCAAGCCCGCCCGCACGACGGCGAGCGGCTTGCATACCTTCAGAGTTCTACGGGGTTTCTGAAACACCTGGTACTTCTGTCGCTACATGAGGCAACGCACTTGAACAGCTCCAGCCGGCCGCCCTCGATGGCTCTCTCCAGGACGACGCCGGCGCCGCCGACGCGGAGGACGCCCAGCACGATGACGGCCAAGGAGGCCAGCACCAGGAGCGCCAACTGCAGCGCGTCCGTCCACACCACTGCCTTGAGCCCGCCCTGGAACATCAAAGTAAGGTAAGTTTCCTGCAACCTGTATTTTTCTCTCTATTCCGAGCTCAAAATAGCACTTTTGTGTGTGAAAATGGGGAGGGCGATGCCCCCCCACTAGATTATTATTATTATTTTTTTTTTGGGGGGGGGGGGGGGCAAGTCCCCCCCCCCCCCCCCCTGCACCCCACTTCCGGCGCCCTTGTGTAAGTTTTTCTCAGTGCATGATATTAATATTTTTAGAGTGTATTTTCCGCGTCTTTGCACCAGCGGTGTTTTCTCATGATTCTGACTGGTCCGCGTTTTTCTCGGAGAAGCGCGTCTATTTTATTCCCGACACCTGAGCCGGTACTTAGCAGTCGGAGCTAGCACAGCTAGCGGAGCTGTTCCTCATGATTATGGCTCGGCAGCATAGTCAGGCAGTTCCGCGAGCCTTCAGCCGTTTGCATAATAGCCGCTTTGATGTGCAAAATGATGCTCGTCGCGAGCAGTGTTAAGTCGAAGAACAGAGACAGAAAAGTATAAAACGTAGAAAGAAAGTCTGTGAGTTTTGAAGGTGAAATTGGCGGGTCCGGCAGCAGCGTTTCGCGTCAGTTTCACGAGATTTGCACCACCATGACTGTTTAAAGTCAAGTGCAGTGCTCGCGGCAGCACCATGGATGTCAATGTTGAGGTCAGGGGCCGCTCCGCACGACTAGCGAGCGCGAAGTGCAACTCAGTTGTCTTTTTTTCCTGTCGGTGAATTGCGTTGGCTGAGCCAGAGCTCGTCAACTCACATCGCGCATCTACGAAGGAACAGTACTAAATGGTAAATAACGTCCCATATAAAAGAGTCTTTTGGCTGAGTTTTCATGCTCCCTATGCTTTTTAGTGGTTCATTTGGTAATATTTGTGGACTTTTAACGGCGATACACTACAAACCTAACTGTCTACTTAGTACACACTTACAAATGCATGCTTGCAAGTACACACTTACAAACGCATACTAGGCGAAGTACACACTTACAAATGCATGCTTGACAAGTACACACAAATGCCTATGCTTAACATGGACTTACACGGCGCCAAGCATGCGTTTGTAAGTGTTTACTTGCCAAGCATGCATTTGTAAGTGTGTACTTGGCCAAATATGCGTTTGTAAACGTACACTTACATGCATGCAATTATGTGTACTAAATAGACTTTTTTGTAGTGTATGGTAATAAAACACAGATAATTTGCATCCTGCGTACGAAGTAATGTGCGAGTTGACAACCCCTCAGCGTCGGCAGTTGTTTGCTTGCTTTTAGCTGCGATATTTACCAGTGTGGTATAGAAAATGCAGACCAAGCAGGCAATCGGGCTGATGATGTGCACACTGACGCCGCTCACTGCAAAATGGACGAAAGGGATTAATTGTTAATTGATTTGATCGCGATTAAGATTTTAAATTTGTGACTGGGGCCACTGTGGGGCCACTGTGGGGCGGTGGACTTGCCTTGGTTGAGGGCCAAGCATGGCACGTAGATGACCACGGGCATGTACAGCAGCTGGAACGGAGAGGACCGTGTCAGCTGATTGAAGAGTCGCCTCCTCGCTGTCTCCGTCGCACTCATGGGGGTGCGAGAGAGACACAGCGACGGAGCCTCTGCTTACTTACTTGTTTGTATTAGTGTATGTATGCCCCGGCCCTATCAATCCCCTGGAATGCGTGAGACTCACTTGTCCGATAGCGAAGAGGAAGGAGCCCAGCTTGCGCACGCTCCTGTTGAAACGGAGCTCTAAATACTGCAGAGCAAAGTGAGCGTGGCGTGAACAAAGTAGAAATACCGAGAAAATGCACGTCCTAAAATACATTTGGACATCCAACTATCCGGTAGTACCTCAAAGGACGAGTTGCACTGCAGGTTGTAGAACATGGGGATGAAGAGGTACATGACGGCGAGGGTGGCGGGGAACACCATGAGCCCCAGCAGGGCGAACTGGGTGCCGTACAGGTACATCTCGGAGGGCACGGCCAGCATCGTGATGCCAGACACATTGCTGCACGCAAATCCCGTCAAGACGGTCAACGATTAACACACTGAAAATTGCTCGCTTTTTTGCCTATTTTTGGAGGAAAATTTCAGATTTCCAGACATTGTAGGTTTTAAGCACTAAAGTGGACACAGGACATGATTTCTTGACTGTTTGGTCCCTCGATGGCTAAGTACACCAGTAGGTGTGTTGCACGGTTGTCCCTGTACACACTTAATGTTATGTACAATTTTGTACGAGACGTCACAGTTTTTTGTCCACACGAACTTATCGTACAAACTTTGTACGAAAAACTAACTGCACATATTTACCAATTTTTGTGCAAAATTGCGTACAAATTTTTATGAAAACTTCGTGTGCTCAAAAAATAGTGACGTCTTCGTACAAAATTTGTACAAAAAATATTTTGTGTGAAGATGCATACTGAGAAATCTTGAGTTTGAAGTGTACCTGGAGATGAGGGACATGGCGATGGGGAAGATGGCCATGTTCTTGCCGCCGTGCAGGTACTCGGACACCGAGTCCTGCTTCTTGATGCAGCCGTAGTACACGCCGATGAAGGCGGACATGAGCATCATGACGATGAACAGGACGTAGTCGGCCGAGTTGAACGTGAGCACCATGTCGAACTGGTCCACCGTCTCCTCGGTGTCCGTGGTGGCGGCGGTGGCGGCGGCGGCGGTCACGGCGGCCATGGTGGTGGACATGGTTCCCGCTGCACAGAAAGCGCGAATTGAGTCGCCGCTCCTACATCGACCGATGCGTATTTTCCACGGGAACGGCCCCAACTTGCACGCGTCGTGCCCGCCGAGCGCGCCACTGGAAAAGAAGAGCCGAGGAGGACGGCATTCATATCTCACCACATCTCGGTAGATAAACTCTACCCCCCCCCCCCCACTACACCCCCTCGCGTCCCCCCGCCCGCCAGCCCGCGGCGCCAACAGCGCACTTACCGTTTACCAAATTAAAGTCCCCCTTTGACCCCCACCCCTCCCTCCTCCGCCTCGCCGCCGAGCCCCGCCTTTTCCGCGAATCACTGGGAATCCTGCCCCGCAGCCAGCAGGCAGCCAGCAGGCCCTCTAGGCTAGCATGGCTGTCGTGGCGAGCAGCCGAGGCCCGCAGTGGGGCAGTGCGCTCTCGGGCAAGACAGCATCCGTCACACAGTGGGCCAGAAGACCGGTGGAGGCGGCCAAAACTCTAGACGCGCTTTGAGCTCCAGAGTCGCTGAACAGGCCTCGAACCAAACGTGTGACCCCACCGATGGATTCCTCGTTCGGAGAGCAGTCCATTGGTGGGATCACACGTTCGGTTCGGGTCCCGTTTAGCGACTCTGGAGCTCAAAACGCGTCTAGAGTTTTGGCCACTTGCACCGGTCTTCTGGCCCACTGCGCAGCGGGGCCGTCGCCCCCGAGGGGAGCCGCGCTGCAAAAAAAGGCAAAGCAGTGCGTGCACCTGGGCGACCCGGCACCGCGGGGCCTAGCCAGGCCCAAGGCCAGGCCGGGCCCTTGACCCGTGGCACTACTCGACAAAGAGCAGGTTCACTGAAACGGAATACGTAATAACCACCCGCTGCTGCTGAACACCCTCCGGAGTTCTCCATGTCGCAGCGGCAAAAAAAATAAAAAAAAAAATGAGGCGGCACGAAATGCGTTGTCGATGGGGTCTCGCACTGGAAGGTAAAATTAAACCGAGAGAGAGAGGGGGAGCACAGAGTGAGAGAGAGAGAGGGGGAGAGAGAGAGAGAGAGAGAGAGAGAGAGAGAGGAGAGAGAGAGAGAGAGAGAGAGAGAGAGAGAGAACAGACAGAGAGCGAGACTCTTTTTTTAGACCACTTTCAAAGTCGGCGCTGAAGAGCCAACGCCGCGTTACTCGCTTCCAAACCCAACTGTGAGGTACCCAAAACTTGAACGGCGTCCCGGAGAACAAGATAATTCAAAAACGCGAACCGATTCCAAAACTCGACAAAGCGTGCCGATTTTCCCGCCCGCGCGCCGACGAGCGAAGCGCAGCGCCCCTCGCGGGCGGAGGCGAAACTATTGGCCAACTTTGGCTCCGAATGAAACCCGGTGGCTGGGCCCGCTGGGCTGACGACAAAGAGTGTAGTAAATCCGCCGGTGTCATGCTGACGTAATGTCGACGAAGATAGCGCCAAAAATTCGGGGTGGGTGACTTGCTCTTTCCAGGAATCGGAGCACAATTGAACCCTCGGCAGGGCGCTTTGTCAAAACGGCACCCGGCGCGCCGCCCCGCGCCGACCGGGTATCTCAATGCCAGGGTAAACAAAGGGCCGACGCAAGAAACGCTTTGGAAACTACGTCAGTGACGGAGATAAGCCGCTGAAAGTGCCACTGTTAACTGAATTATTACGGTGTGGTGACATTGAAAATGCCGCGGCGAAGTGTAAGTGAGATCTGCGCGTACCGTCCAGCCAGCTGGCTTCGCGCGCCGATACGGAAAATCTCTCCGTCCTGTGACAGGTGAGTGTGGCTGGAAATTATTCACACCGAACAATAATGAGCGCGAAAAATAAGTAAAGAGTTGTTGGGTGAGTCTAAAGAAACCGAGTGAAATATTATGTAAACAACATAAAGGGAGCTGCTTTAAGAAAAGTGAGGTTAGGATGTCAGCTGACGTGCGTCGTAGGGTTCCTGGCGCGGTGTGCCCATCGGTCAGACCGCGCGACATGATTAAACAGTGGCCAAAGCGTGTGGCAAAAAGTGAGGTTATGTTGTCGCCCGGTGCGCTGTGGAGCCCCCAGGCCAATCAGACTATTAGGCATCGTCGGTGCGGCGCTCCGCGGGGCTCCGGGTTGGGCAAACGAGGTTGAGCCTCGGCAATGTTTGCGGTGCTTTACGGCGACACGCGAGCGAGGAGGGGGGGGGGGACGCGTCGTGCAGCAGACTCATTCCGAGAGTCGTCGCTCTGACTCTCTCGCACTCAAGGGGCGTCCCGTGCGGATGCGAGAGAGACGGGGCGACGAAAAAGGCTCTCGGAATCAGTCTGCAGTTTGTTTGTGGGAACAGGCGAGCAGCGGCGTGGGGTGGCACGGAGTGTCAACACGACGGTTGCACCAGGTGCCGCAGCATCGCGCAGCAAGCCCTGTAGACTGATTCCGAGAGTCGTCGCGCTGTCTCTCTCGCACCGATACGGGACGCCCCATGAGTGCGAGAGAGACAGCGACGACTCTCGGAATCAGTCTACGGGAAGAGTCGTGACAATGGGTGGCCGCTACGACGGAGGCCACGAACCCACCGAGAGCAGCGGACTGAGAGTCGTTTTCGTCGCTCTGTCTCTCCCGCACACCCATGGGGCGTCCCGTATAGGTGCGAGAGAGACAGAGCGACGAAAGCGAGTCTCGGAATCGGTCTGCAGCCGAGAGCGGCGGCCGACACGCGGGGGTAAAAATACTGCGAGGGCCACGCGGCGCAGTGCATGGGGCCGGAGCAGAATGGCCGGAAGACCGACCGAGGGGTTACCCACTCGTTGTTTTAGTGTACACACGATTCCGGATTCCCGCGATTCCCAGAACATATCCCTGAGAAAAAGAGAGAACTTTCGAAAATTTGCTTTGTATTTGAATGTTTTTGTGCGTATCACATGATTACCATGACTTTAAATTGAAACTATGAGGATTTTCCATCAAATTTTAAAAGATTTACGAATGATTCCCGGACTGAGTGTACACATGATTCCCGGAGTGGGTAACCCCTCGAGACCGACGCCGACGGCCAAAACTCTAGACGCGTTTGGAGCTCCGGAGTCGCTAAGCGGTCCCGCAACGAACGTGTGACCCCACTAATGGATCCCTCCCATTCATTGGTGGGGTCACACGTTCGGTTCGAGTCCTATTTCGCGAATCTGGAGCTCAAAACGCGTCTAGAGTTTTGGCCGCCTCCACCGGTCTTCTGGCCCACTGCGCCCCTCCTGGCTGCGTCCCGCGGCGCGGGCACGCACGAAGGGCTGCCTAGCCTGGCGCTTCAAGGCGGTGATAATGTAACGCGACGCGAAGCGCGCCATCACCACACCACTGTAACATATTTCAGCGATCTTTAAATACATAGCAGCGGGGAAGTCCTGCGAAAAAGTTTAAATCGAGTTTTTGCCACAGGATTATTTTGACAGAATTTCATATTTAACCTGCTTCAAGTGCGTGCTTTGTGCGTTACGCGCGTTCGACCCGAAAGCCGCCCGCGGTGCGGCCTTTGCCGCTGGAGGCCGCACAACACACAGCGCGTGTGGGCGCGGTGGTGGCTACACGATAAAAAGGGGAGGGGGGGAGGGACATAGATTGGCGTTGAAGCAACTTCTTCCCATTAGCAGAACAAAAGCGCTAAATGAGTTCATCCTGCCTTTTACAAAAGGCTAATCTCGAGTTCCGCGTTCACGGCCAGGGGAAAGGGGGGGGGGGGGGAGAATGGCCATAGGGCACACAGGACGCGAAGGGACCCAAGGCCGAAGGGTCGGACAAGGGACTGGCTACTCACTAGGGCCTCTCTGTCGCTCGCCCTGCTCGTACATAAAATTTATCCTGTTCTCCACTGACCCCGTGCTTTTGTTTTCCTTTTCGAGAGGAGGGTCAGACCACTCTCTCTTCTCTCTCTCTCTCTCTCTCTCTCTCTCTCTCTCTCTCTCTCTCTCTCTCTCTCACACACACACACACACACACACACACACACACACACACACGCAGTGTGCATTAATCGCCGAGGCTTGAAAGGGGGAAGCCAAATTGGTATTGGGGAGGGTTCAAACCCTTGTCCGAGGGGTGAGTCACAGTCAGCTTATTTTATCTTCACTCCCAGTAGTGTCACCGCGGTGCGTCTTCGAAACTGCCTTCCAGGCATTATTATTTGTTTATTATGATTCATGAATGTATTCAAATCACTTTGGCCTAGAGAGGAAAAGAGAGCCTTTGCGCACTTTTTCCGACTTTTTCCGTCCATTTTTTTTCCTACGAGTGCACCTTGACATATTGGGACATGTCCTTCTCCTCGGGGAACATGGGGAGAGCCTTTGAAGCCACGCCGCGTCTGGCAAGCTGATCCCCCAGGACCCGCTCTCTTTCACAAAAAAAAAAGAACAGACCAGAAAACGAAAACAACATTTGCACTATTAACTTTTCACAGCGCTTACTGCGTCTTTGTGTGTGTGCTCAACAACAAGTAGTGAACGATCCAACACTCAAACCTAACTTCCCACTCAAGTACACACTTACAAATGCATGACACTGCAAGAAACAAAACCACAACTGACCTGCAAGAATTCCCGACAGTTTTTTTTAAATCAGGATTGGACTGTCCTTTTAAAGAAACAAACAACAAAGTACAATGGACCTGGCATGGCGAGTGCAGTCTAGTCCTGGCCTCTTTGTACCAAACTCGTTTATACTTTGTACTATCCTCATTGCCCTTTTTTCACAGTTTTCGTTGTACTTTTGTGTACTATTTAATTTTTTCTTGCAGTCAACGTTACAAACGCATACTTGGCAAAGTACATACTTGCAAATGGATGCTTGGCAAGTTCTACACGGAGTTATACGGTCCCAAACATGCCGTTTGCAAGTATGTACTCGGCCAATTATGCGTTGTTAAGAGTCTCCTTGGCCATGTATGCATTTGAAAGAGCGTGCTTTTGGCCAAGCATGCGTTCGTTAGTGTCCACTTGGCCAAGCATGCATTTGTAAGTGTGTATACTTAGCAGACAGTTAGGTTTGCAGTGAATGCAAAGCCATGGCCTTGCGGTGCCACTTCATCTTCATCACCTATTCTATTGACTCCGTGTCCCTTTGGGAGGGCCATCGCCCCGCTGCAGCCCGGCAGGCCGCCACCCCGTCAGCAAAGCCACGCACAGTGGGCCAGAAGACCGGTGGAGGCGGACAAAACTCTCGACGCATTTGAGCTCCAGAGTAGCTAAACAGACCTCGAATCGAACGTGTGGCCCCACCAAATGGTTTGCTCTCCGAACGAGGAATCCATTGGTGGTGTCACTCGTTCGTTTCGAGGCCTGTTTAGCGACTCTGGAGCTCAAAACGCGTCTAGAGTTTTGTCCGCCTCCACCGGTCTTCTGGCCCACTGTGCCACGGCGGGGCAGGCTACGCTGGCCCCATGAATATGCGATCGCGCTGTATAGCACAATGGCTGCCTTGCCAGTGGGCGACGTAAGCCAAAGAGCCCGCGCAACAAGCAGGACAGGGGACGCGCTGTGGGCCGGAAGACCGGTGGAGGTGGTCAAAATACCAGACGCTTTTTGAGCTCGAGAGTCGCTTACTGGAACTCGAACCGGACGTGTGACCCCACCAATGGATTGCTCTCCGAACGAGGAATCCATTGGTGGGGTCACACGCCCGGTTCGACTGGACTTTGACGACCTCTGAATTTGTTGTCTATATTTGCTGACCTTTTGTTTTTGCTTTACAGTGGAGTCGCTGCGCGCAAGTATGCTTCGCCTGGAGTCATGGACAGGGACGCTTCGTATCTCGGACGACTTGGAGCGGTTCTTCGCGGGGAAGTTGCCACAGGTTCGCAAAGAGACGGACGCACGAACAGATGGAAAGACATTACAAGCCCAGTTTGTCAGGTTACACGTTCTCCAAATGGGTGCCGGTGGCACGCCTCACTCATGCCGAAAGCTCCCTCGGGAGGAAGTGTTGCGGAAGAGAGGGAGGGTGAAGGGGAAGACGAAAGTGCTTTCGCTGTGGAGCAAGGCGGGGCAAGGCAGCATGGCAGGTGTAAGGAGGAATTCCAGGAACGAAACCTGGAGCGGATCCGAACGCGGGAAAAAGGGGGGGGGGGAGGAAGCAGACCTTACCCCATGCCACGCATATTTTCCGCTCCCCTCACAAATTCACAGTGCGGTTTCACCAAACTTTTCCGGGTGACAACGACAACGGTAGAGGGTTTGATTCGGCTGGGTCGCACGGTGGCCCACACTCTCATTCCAGGAACGTGACATACATAAAAACGAAACGTGACAGAATGTCACGTTCGTTTGAGCATTGTGTCACATTCTCTTGAATGAGAACAAGCTAATTTTTGGCCGATCCACACCCAAACGAATGTGATGCAATGCACAATGCAATGCAAAACTCTAGACGCGTTTTGAGCCCCGGGGTCGCTCAGCGATACGCGTTGTGCCGTGGTCGTGGGTTCGCGACCCACCCGGGTGCCCCGTCCCCCTTGCTCCACCGCACACACTCATACACAAACACATACGAAAGCGCGCACGCACACACAAACACACACACACACACACACCACACACACACACACACTCACACACAAAGAAGCAAATCGAACATGAAGGCGAAAACAAAAGCTGCTGTCTCAATTCCCTTTGCTACGGTGCTTCGCCGTAGCCTCTCCCAGCTGCTCTTTTTTTGGAGAGGGGGGAGGGATTTGAACGCCGAACGCCGAGGTGACGGTCCAGGCTTTCGCGGCTTTCACTTCTTTGTCGGTAGCTCTGTAGGCCTATCCGGGAGCGATTCTGCCGTCTACGCACACTGTGAAAACCTTACAAACAGTAAGCCTTAAAGAAAAGCAGCTTGTTAAAACAAATTATTTTGAGCATACATAAGCTTACAAAGAAAATACTTCGTAATTTACATCCAGAAAAATGGTTTCTTGACTTTTAATTTTCTTGGTTTTTATTAGAAAAAATGCCTTAACACAAGAATTTTTTTCTGCGCATGCAAAAAAAAAGTTTGCGTAAAGGAAGATTTTCTTAAAAAAAAAAAACAAGAAAAGTTTTTTTTTATCCGACCAGTCATTTTTTTTTTTTTGGGGGGGGGGTGTACGAACTATTTCTCTGTTTAAGAAAGTAACTTAGATTGTTCTACGTATGCTTTAAGCGTGCATCTCTGTCTTTTCACCACGCTCCACAAATTAAATAATGGCTTCTGTCTCTCTCGCACTCACTGGCAGTCCATAAGGAGTAACAAGGACGGACAAATATTTTTTTAAAAAAACGTGACGTAGTAAGTGGACGATCCCTTTGTACCCTTTGTCACCACCAGCGGCGCCAGGGACCGCCAGGGACGCCAGCGGAATTCGAACCGCCACATAATTTATGGGGCAACACCTTTCAAGATGGCAAGTCGGATAAAAATTTATGCCCAACCTTGAAAAGTGCATTTTTTTTTCATTTGTAGGGTAGATTTATGGTATGACTGACTGAGGGGGTGGGGGTCGAAATGACGCGTCCGGGATGCGGCTAGGCTGCTGAGTGCGGTGGAAGGGAATGATATCGAGTGGCGAAAGCGCGCCAAAGCGGGCCGGGAAAAGTGCCACCAGATTGCAGACTGATTCCGAGAGTCGTTTCCGTCGCTCTGTCCCTATCCCGCACCTATACGGGACGCCCCATCGATAAGTGCGGGAGTGGACAGAGCGACGAAAGCGACTCTCGGAATCAGTCTGCTGGCAACTGTCTATCCGAACGTAACCGACACCCGGCCGCGGAGTGAGTTCCCGTCGGTGCGGTCAGCACACCCCTCCCCCTTCCCCCCTCTCCTCGCCGGCCGGCTCGGCGGGGGTTGGTGCGTGCGGCGCGGGGCCGCTGGACCAGACGGCCGTCCCGCCGCGACCCCCTGCCGCCGTGCCGCCGTGCCGTTCCCCTCAGCCTCCGAGCCCCCGCGGCCCCCACGGCGGCCACGGCCTCAGTGCCGTCGTGCTGCTCCCCGCGTCTGGTCGGCCGCCCCGCGCCGCGCCGCGCTCCGAGCCGCTCCGAGTGCGTCGCCAAGCTCGCGCTCGTGCCGTGCCAGCGCTGCCGTTCGTCGCCGTCACGAAACACTAAGATAAACAGCAGTTCGAACTTTGACTCTTACCGTCGCGTGGAAAGCCCCAGCAAGTGGCGTGTTATTTTAGAAAAGAAAAATTAAAACGGAACAGGAAGTGGGTGGATTTTTAACAGTGCTGGGCCAACCTGTCGGCGAATGCCTGGACCGTAATCTCCCCACGCTTGGCCGCGTGGGCGGTCGCCGCCAGCGGACGGACAGAGGTGGGTGCGTCATTTTGATCGTGTGGGGGTCAGTTTTTCCGCCTAGTCCGAGGACACAGACCGAAAAAGGCACAGGAAAAGTCGAGGGGGCAACCACTCCATAAGTCCGGTGCGATCCGGTGTCCACTTTAGTGCCTGAAATGCCTGGAAATCTAAAATATTTGGCGTAAAAACGGTTGAACTGTGGCGATTTTCTCTGTAATACAAAGCAAAACAAAAATAAAAAATATCACATATTACTGCGGAAATTTTCACTGTAGTACAATGAAAAAATAGAAAAAATATCTGTAAGGTAAAGTGAGTTTTCCAAGGTAAAGGTCAGTTGCCCGCCATAATATCGAGAATTTTCATCATAATCTGGAGAATCTTCTCTATAAGACTTGTCGAGTGTAAATGAATTTGCGGACCGTCAGTAACGGAGGGGAAAACTTCGATCACATTTTTTACCGCGAGCTTACAAGAGAATCTGATGGGGAAGACGGCGGCGGACCAGTAACTTTCGGAAAGTCCCGTTCTCCGTGAAAAACGGCGGAATTTTTCGCAGTGTGACGAAGGGCTTCCCTTTTTTTGGGGTCACTGGGGGAATGGCAGAGGCGGACTTGCTGTGGGGAGCGCAGCAGGGCTAGATTGTACTAAATAGGGTGGCGACCCCTGCCCCCCCCCTTTTCCCCTCCCGGGGCCATGTCGTGCGCAGGTGTAAAGTGATAACGGACAATGGGGCGCGTGTCATGTCCGCCAATTACTGCACGGCTCGCCGGACGGACAAGGCAACGCGAACTCTCAATGCCCTCCCTTGCACTTGCGGAGGGTGATGGTGCACTCGATGAGTCTTATGGTTGAGGCAGAGTATGCCTAGGGATTGGGGGAGAGGCATTTTGCCAGAATACCGCGATATTCATATCGGAGTCCCTGGTTATTGGCAGTGACACGCACACCGTCCGGCCAATAGCAATACGACGTGTTCCGCCATTAGTGATGGCAGCCCATTAGGTGCACCGCCACAGAGAGAGAGAGAGAGAGAGAGAGAGAGAGAGAGAGAGAGAGAGAGAGAGAGAGAGAGAGAGAGAGAGAGAGAGAGAGAGAGAGAGAGAGAGAGAGAGAGGGAGGGAGAGAGAGGGGGGAAGGGGGGGGGAGAGACGCACTCAATGCAACGCATTCCGACAGATTAGCACTGCCAGACTACTCCAGGCCCGTTCCCGTTTAGTTTCTTTCATTCCATGTTTATGAATGTTTTTTTTACAAAATAAAATTATGCGTCAGAAATATGGAACGAGAGCGCCGAGTGTTCAATTAGATTGCTTTGAGTTGCGAAAACAAGGCGTCTAAAAGAGACAGAGATGGGAGCTGTGTAGCCAATCCAGCAGAGCAGGGGTCTCCAACTCGTTGGCCCGCAGCTGGCCCGCGGGCCAAGCGGGCCAGGCCGGGCACGCTGGGGCCCGCCCGGTGCGACCGGAGCGGGGAGAGACAGGTAGTAGGTAGCGAGGGGGGTACTGGCGGGTGGGTGGGGGACGTCTGCACAGCAGCAAAGCCTCTGAGATCGGAGTGGGAAGAGCGGCGATAGCTGAGGCAGCAGTAGCGCTGGCCCGGGCTCGGGCCCGCGGGCCCAGCTGGGCCAAATGGCCCGCCGGGCCTGAGTTGGAGACCCCTGCAGCAGAGCCACTCCACTGACCGAAGTGGTGAGAACTACCCGGAAGTACTTACCACTGCTTACCACCAGGGGCCACCTCCACTACTGCACTCCCAGTCAAGCTGCAAAAACTTGCCCACTATGTCTAGATTTTGCAACAATTTTTGCAAGGTTTTGCAACAATCCCTGCTATAAATTACAATGAAATACATTTTGCAGTAACGAAGTAAAAATAAAGGCCGCTTCGTCGCCAAAAGAAGGGGTAGTTTTCGCTAAATGGTGCAATAACTGAATTGCCGCCCACACCAGCGTGTCGTCGGAACGGCGAACTCGGTTTCATCGCAAACATTTGGAGTAAAAGCAATTGCAAAACGAATGGCAATGCGTCCAAAGCAATTGCGGGTCGCTGTGTATTTTCCCTGGCGGGGTGGCCATGATGGCGATGCCTCGCCCTGCCTGGCCCGGACGCGCCGCAGTGTGACGGCCCACAGTGTGGTGGCAGCGCTGAGACGCGCCGGGCTCGCGTTGACTCCGTCAACAGCACCCGTTTGCACAGGGTAGACCGCTCGGTCCAGTCGGGCTCCAGTCTGGGGGCGGCCGGGAGACCCTCTTGGGGCTCACGTGTTCGCGTCAACACGATTGTATCGTCGGCCGGGGTCCCGCGCCGAGGGGCCCGCGAGAGGGGTGGGGTGGCGAGGACCTCAGAAAACACCAACTCGAACTGCGACGACCCGCTATCAACAAACAGACAGCGCGCTGTAGATCAACGAATGTGACGTCATACTAGTTGAATAACAGTATGCGACACGCTGTGAGACTTTGTTGTAACTTTGTGGTAAAATCAGAAATGGCATTTTCATCACTTGAAAATGATGACAGTTTCATCACGTATTGCTGAGCTTGCTTGCATGGGGCTAACATCAATGTCATCAACAAGTTTGACAAAATAGTTTGTAAGGTTTTCTCAGCGTAAACACAAACAACATTCGCGAATCTTAAAATGTATACGGGGTGGGCCACAGTTGCCTATTTGTATCGCCACTCTTTCCTGTTATTTATCTACTTTCACGTTTTTGCAGGGTCCCGCGGCGGCCGGTGCTGCCACTCCTAACCCCTGACCGCGCTGAGCGTGCCGGCGACGGCGCGCGGCCCGCACGGAGACCTGGATGAGTTGGCGACCCTGTCGGCGGCCGTGGAGGCGCAGGCCAAGCAGGCCGCCAAGCAGGCCAAGGAGGAGGAGGACAAGCTAGCCGACAAGCTGGCCGACAAGCTGGCCGGCAGGCCCGAGGCGCACGAGGTGCGCACCATGGACCTGGACGACATCCTCCCCGACGTGGGCGAGTTCGGCGCGTACCAGCAGCTGCTGCTGTGGTTCGTCCTGCTGCCCGGCGTGCTGCCCTGCGGCTTCCACGCCTACAACCAGCTCTTCATGGCGGCCAGCCCGCCGCACTGGTGCTACGTGCCCGAGCTGGACGCGCTCAACATCAGCCAGGAGTGGGCCCGGAACCTCAGGTGAGTCTCTCCCTCCCTCCCTCTCTCCCCCCCTTCTCTCTCTCACTCTCTCCCCCCCCCCCTCTCTCTCTCTCTCTCTCTCTCTCTCTCTCTCTCTCACTCACTACCTCCCCCCCCTCTCTCTCCCAAAGACGCGTTTTGAGTCGCAAAATGGGACTCGAACCGAACGTGCGACCCCACCAATGGATTCCTCGTTCGGAGAGCAATCCATTGGTGGGGTCACACGTTCGGTTCGGGCGACTCTGGAGGTCGAAAGGCGTCGGGGATTTTGACCGCCTCCACCGGTCCTCCGACCCGCGCGTCGTCTGCAACCTCCGAGAGTCCCCCGCCTCGGCCCTGCCTTGGCGGCCCGAGCGCCTGCGGATCGGGGCGTAGGCAACCCCGCGGGCGGCGCGTCCCGCGGGAGGGTCTACCCGCCAGGCGCTCCGCCAGCCTGATCCATCTTCAGGTAGCAAAGTCATTACCCCCGCGGGACTTTTCCTTTTCACTCCATCATACGCGTGGCGGCGACGGCAAGCAAGGCGGCAGGGCCGAGACCCCGGCCGGTGCGTCGTGTCGTGAGGCTGTCTCTCTCGCACTCATGCGGCGTCCCGCGTTGAGAGAGAGAGAGAGAGAGAGAGAGAGAGAGAGAGAGTGTGAGAGAGAGAGAGAGAGAGAGAGAGAGAGAGAGAGAGTGTGTGTGTGTGTGTGAGAGAGAGAGAGAGAGAGAGAGAGGCGCTGATAGAGACTTCCACCAGCTTGCTGCCAGTGCTCCGGGCGGCGTTACTGACGCGGCCCATACCTGCTCCCCCAACTTGTCCGCGGCGGCATGTCCCCCGGTTTATTGTCTCCGCGACACGGTACGCCACGGCACGGCACGCCACGGCACGCCACGGCACGCAGCCTTTGTACGGCGAGTGTTTCCATAGGACAGGCAAGTAGAGGCGATGATGGGGTCGGTGGGGTGGCGGGGCGCGGTGACCCCGCGTACGTGTTATTTCCAAACGAGCTCCCTGCCAGGCGCGGATCCAAGGGGGGGGGGGCGATGGGGGCGTCGCTCCCCCCTGAAGGCGGCGAAGCCGCCTGAAAGGTAGGCAAAAAGTAGCACATTACCCCTGTAGGTAGGCAACTTTCGCGACGTCGCCCCCCCCTGAACCCGTCCCTGGATCCGCCCTTGCTCCCTGCAGCTCCTTTGGCCCTGCCTTTGGCCCCCCGACCCGCCTCACTCATTCCCCAAGTTTGCCACAGCCGAAAGTTTGATGCAAGTTGACGTGTTGCCGCGCTCATTGAGTGCGCCCACAGCGCACTGGTGCCGCCCGGAGCGTCGCCTCGTCGCTCTCTCTCTCACTCATGGCGCGTCCCGTGGGCGTGCGAGAGAGACAGAAGCGGCTTTTCAGAATGGCTCGGCGGCGCAGTGGGCCAGAAGACCGGCGGCCGAAACTCTAGACGCGTTTTGAGCTCCAGAGTCGCTAAATGGGACTCGAACTGAACGTGTGACCCCACCAATGGATTGCTCTGCGGACGAGGAATCCATTGGTGGGGTCACACGCTCGGTTCGAGTCCCATTTAGCGACTCTGGAGCTCAACACGCGTCTAGATTTTTGGCGGCCGGTCTTCTGGCCCACTGTGGGCGGACCCGCACCAACATTTCGCCCCCGCTGCGTGTCGTTTTCCCGCTCCGCATCACGGAAAAGGGGGGAGGGCTGCCGACGTGCAGCGGCCGGCAGGAGGGGGGGCCGTGGGGGGGGGCGGTGGGGGGGCGGCCGGGGGGCGGCCAGGGGGCGGCGTGGCGGCCGTGGGGGGCGGTGGGGGGGGGGGGGGGGGGTGACCGCCGAGCGGGGCCAGGCACCTCCTCGCCGATCCTGCCCGCCTGCTCGCACCGTGACACGCTCAGCGTCCCCTCCACCGCTGCTGCCCTTCCCTGACTCGTTACTGCATGTTTTTGACCAAAAAGAACGTCTTCCTCTATTTTTCTCTCTCTCTCTCTTTTCTCTCTCTCTCTCTTCTCTCTCTCTCTCTCTCTCTCTCTCTCTCTCTCTCTCTCCCCCCTCCCCTCTCCTCTCTCTTTTTCGAAGAGTGGTGTCTCTCTCGCACTCAAGCACCCCCTGTCGGTGTATATCGTTTGTCCGACCGACGTTTGTCCGACCTGCAAAAATTTTTCCGACCTCCTTTGCCCTTAAATTTTTTTCCGATCGACGTTTGTCCGACCGACGTTTGTCCGACCGACGTTTGTCCGACCGACGTTTGTCCGACCGACGTTTGTCCGATCACTTTTCAGGAAAGAGGGAGGGGGAGAGTAGAAATATTTCCCCGACGTCGTGAAACAGATTGGTCGTCAGAGGACAAAAGGGGGGGGCCACGGTGCACATCGTTTGTCCGACCTTTGTACGACCAAATTTTTACTTGCCCGGGGTCGGCTGAAAATTTTGTCCGACCTCCGTTTTGTCCGACCCACTTACACCGCCACTCGGTCAGGCTGCAGCTAGAGAGCAACTCGGCGGCGCTCAATTGATCTAAACACCCGCGGGTCACTCTCTATGTCAATCAAGACGGATGGGAAACAATCCAAAGACATTTTAACACAAAATGTATTCAGAGTAACAGAATAAAATCAACACTATAAAAAAATTTCAGCGAAAGAGGGCACCCCCCCCGAACCGGCCCTCTTTCCCCCCCGGCTTGGTGAGCCAGTGGTTCCCCCATCTCATCACAGGAGCAACCCCAGAGTTAAACCGCAGTGGCCCCGTCATTGGTCACGTCATCTGTGATGTGGAGGAGTCCTCTCATAGTAGGCCAGGCTGCCACCTTTCCCAGTAGTCGGGTTTCGTTCCCCCCCCTTTCCCCCTCAGGGGCCATGCTACTGGTACTCAGGAG